AACGCCTGATCTCATTCCTGTTAATCAAGTAATCGCTGCACTCAGAGACAATGAACAAAATGTTGAAATTATCAGTGTTAGATCTGTTACTAGAACCATAGATCATCTTTTAAGAATTGTCTTTTTAGCAGAACGACAAGAGGTTATTACCGCTAAATGGAAACTTACCTTTAGAGGAAAAACCTTTCTTATCTCTGACTTTATTAACTTGGAACAGTGTCCGGCATGTTCAATTTATAACACTGCTGATTCACGATGTAATTGCAATCAGAGACTAATGTGTACCAACTGTGACCAAGAGACTCATGGACCCGAACTAAATGGCCTTTGTCATTTGGATGCCGAATGCAAAAACTGTAAACGCGATCTCACAATCAACGAAATACCACTTGCCTTTGATCATCCCAACAATTACATAGGCTGTCCATCACTTCGAAGAGCCGTAATTAGAAGCATTAGCAATATTAGGTTTAACTATAGCTACTTGATGCTCTCAACCTTTGCTCCTTTGAGCAATTAATTACACTTGAACCAATCATCTATTGGTATCACCAATCATCTATTTTATGGTTCAGAAACTTTGTCATTATTTTCCTACTTTGCTGATTTCATTAAGCGAAATCGATGCCTTTGAATTTGTATCTTTTTTCGCCTTTCTCAAATTACCATCTTCATTACTACTCCTTTTATGACCTTATTGCCTCCACTTTTTACTTATCCTAACTCTTTTCACATGATAAACAATTGCACTTGATGCTCTGAAACCTAATACTTTCTATGACCTTCTCACCCTTCTCTTCTCTCTTTTCGTTTCTTTGACTCCCTTTACTTAATACTTTAGTTATCTTTACTTACAATTTACAATTTACAGTCTCACCAATTAGCACACAAACTTCACAACTGCCTCAATAAACTACACTTTTTTGAAAACACTTGATTGCTTCTTTATAGCGGCTTAAAATTGTTTACTCAATGTCTCTCTTTGGATAAACATTATCAGACTTGTTAACTAACTTACAATGCAATTAATTTTCCTTCTATTATTATTTAACTGTGATATTTGATACCTCGTTAGTAGAAACAAAAAAATACATTCGAAGTCATTAAGACTCCTTTCGAGTTTAGCTCTTAGTTAATACTAATCAAGCTCAGTTCATAAGATAATCTTGACCAATGACAGTTAAAATTATTGAACTAAACTAATCTGACTCAATTTGAACATCAATATTAACCTGATCTGCTCAACACTCATGATGAACTTCAACTCCAACTTCATTTCAATTTGCCTTAATGAAGAAATTAATTTTGTCATCTTTGAGATGTCAATTGAAATCGAAAACGCGATTCTAATCGATCATGGAAATATAATCCTGTCTATATTTGATAATTTCGTCTACTACTACATAATAATCGATGGATCCTCAGATGATGAAATACAATTAAACTTGATAAATCTATTAGTTTCAAGGAATGCTGAGTGTCATGTTTGGGACTGGTTGAAACCAATGATGAGAAAAGATGTTCTCAACGTGATTAACAATGACTTGCTTGACCTTATCTGTGAAAACTATGTGTGGATAAAGACAGGAAATGAACCAATGATGTTTGTCCCATCGGAGGATGAGTATAACAATCTACTTTTCTTCAATGACATGTTAACAACCTAAACCTAAACACAACCAAGACACCAACCATTAAAAACTCATTCAACTTCTTATTTACAATTCATATCTTACAATTTTTTATCCCTTTTCTATATCCCTCATTAACCTTGTACTAGACCACCGACATTAAGAATAAAGATTCTTTTGTTTCGTAAACAATCAGTTTATTGTCTCACTTGTTCATTTGTGTCACATTTTATCTCACCTAACAACATCTCAGTGTCATTGAGGTACACGATTATGGAAGTGAAATTCACCCTTTTGAATGTCCGGAGAAGAACTGATGTAGCTGAAGTTCTGACGCGTATATCGATTGACAATAGATGTTTCGTTGTATCAACCGAAGATATGGATATAAACTTGATTAAACACAATCAAATCAAAGGCCTTAGTGTTCGTATTATCAACAACGATCTATGGAAGAAAATTGACGGAAAAATATTTGATGAAAACATAATTTGGGGCTATTATCGAAGAAATTTATGCGTGATCATGGTCATTGCCGTCTACTGTCCTCCAAGATGTAAGAAAACACTTAGGAAACTTACGCAATTAATAGAGGAAATCAAAATTGAAGTCCCTACCTTTATTCTCGGCGACCTAAACTTGAAACAACAATTTGGGTCGATAACCCAAGGCTAAATCGATACCATCTTATTGGCGATGTTAAACTCCTGGAAGAAAATCTGAGTGCTAAAGGTTTCATTACCCTTCTTCCTCGCGATAGAAAAGATGGAACTACTCGAGTTGGAAAAGATACGAATTCGATCATTGATGTCATTCTTTTCACAGGGCAACATATTGACAGACTTCACAAATTCGAAGATGTCCCAGGACTTGATCACAAACAGATATTCCTGAGAACTAAGATCAAATACAATGGATCGACAATCACTAAGAATCGCGATTTCACGCTCATCTACGGTAATGCCAATCTGAAGATGGAAATGATCAACGACATTGGTGAGAAAATTGTTACACTTCTCAACTCTGGCAAAGGTGTTAAAAGAAATAAAAGAAAGGGTAACAACAGGATAAGAAAATTAAAGAAGAAAATCAGTCTCTGTAAATGCACCGAAGAACGTATGAATTTATATTATGAATTAAAGGATTATCAGATTAATAAAAATCGAACAATACCAGTTTGGAGACTGTCGATCTTGGAGCTGCATAAGCTCATTGAAATACACAAAATTAACCCAGACATCAGAAGAGAAGACACCATTAGGATGAAGCCAATCATGATACCAAAAACCAAAAAAATATTTTCTCCCAACACCAAACATAGATTTCCTGGGCTAGAAGAGAATGAGAAAAATATATTAAGAAAGATGAAATTCAACAAGAGCTCAGGATGGGCTGATGCGTTCACCAAGGGAAGATGGTGCAAAATCTGGGAGAGAAACAAAGAGGCATCATCAGTATGGTAAATGAACTCTTTGAATCTGGGTGGCTTCCTGAACCTCTTAAAATCAGCGGAGGCACTCAGATACCAAAACCTGATGGCTCATTCCGAACAGTTCGAACACAAGGATTCATGGGCAAATTGGTTGATAAAATTCTTTCCATCAGACTCATGAAATGGATTAAAGAATTTGGTCTCATTGATGAGGATTATCAATTTGCGTATATGGGCAAACAACGTATATCATTTCTTATTAAACTTTATGAATACCAAGATGATTATCATCAACTCATTGGTCTGGATATGTCAAAGGCCTTTGATAAAATCTCCAGACGTGAAATTGTACTTCGCCTAGAAGGTTTAGATCTTGGCACCAGGACTATGATAATGGAATTTATACATGATCGGAAAATTAGAAGCTTGGTAAAGGGACAATTGACTGTTGAAGCTGATCCCGAGGGTCTTCAAGGTTTCAGTTTAGGACCACTTCTTTTCATCCTTGGTATAGATAATTCATTAAGATGGTTGAACAGGAATTCTGGAGTACAAATGGTTCTTGGATATGCTGATGATCTCTATGCGCTTACAATGGAAACAGAAAAAACAATAGAAGAGATAGAAAATAAATTAGGTCACATCGACCTAGAACTAAATAGAAGAAAAACGACCTTTCTAAATCTTGAAAGACAAAATCTTAACCTACAACACAAAATCATAGGATATCGAATCGACAGAACCGAGAATATGAAAATCTGGATGAACAAAATTGTCTCTTCCTGCAAACTTAACGAAATTCAAACCCGCTTAATTCTAAGAATGAGTTTGGGCCAAATTAGAGTCATGTGTAACTCACACATCACACCACATGCTGATCAAATTGGATTAGGTCCATGGTTACATAATAAATTATGGCGATACCTCATTGACAAATTCATTCTCCTTGGTCGCAGAATCACTAACCATATACTTGATAATCGTCGACAATACAGAGATTCGCAAATTGATCATCTTCAGGACCTTCCAAATCCTCTAATTAATTATTTAACAAACATCATCATGCAACTATGGAAAATGAACGTCAGTGAAGATATTTTTCCTGTGATCAGTTTTGGATTTGGTCTATCTGGACACGTTTACAGAGAGGAAGAAAGAAACGCTGATACATGTAAACGTATTGAAATTAAAATAACTTTTAAGGAAGATACACTTTGCATGAGGAAATTCGGACTCGCGGATGAGCACATACATTATCAATCACCACTGATTAACTGCAGATTTGATTTGGAACGTTTAGCTATTACGATCCTGTCAAAAAATGGGTCAACCGACTTACTGAGTATACCCTTCAAGATGAATATCCTTAATCTTAATATAGCTAAACAATTCTCAAAAACGATAATAAAAGACAATGAAAGATGCCATCACGACCAACCAACTAAACTAATCAAAGTTAAAAAGAGTGATAACCAAATGAAGAGAATCATAAGGAAAAAATTAGAAGACATCGAACACAAGATCTATTTAAACAAAAGAAAACACAATATACTTGGTAAAATTTTTACGGCAAAAGCAATCAGAATAATAAGACAGGAAAAAAGATTTTATCTTAATAACTTAATGGGTGACATAACCTTCGTCAGAAAATGGGCCAGTAAACTTGAACATAACTGTGAAGTTGTGATGGATGAATTTCATCTGATCGACTGTCAGGATTTTGTGCCGTCCAATGGATGGGAGATCGACAATGACAAAAAATTAAAGACAATTAAGAAACATTTTGAAATGATTAGAAGCAAGATCGTGATTAAGCCGACTTAAGCCGGCTTGCTCGTAGAGACCTCTGAGTCGACTCCCACTGAAGGAGCCATGCACATGCATGGGAGCAGCTGTTGAATCAGCCAAGACAACAAAAAGCTAACTAAATGTTACTTTTATTAGTAAAGACTTTAAATTGTTTTTACTAATTATCAAAATTGTTTAATTGTTCAATAGAGAATACGAGTCCATCTTTAATCATGGATCATCAATTAGAACCTAGATCAAAGCCTGGATCGGCTCGTAAATTGGTTATAAAAAATTTTTCCAAACCTCTGTTACCTGAAAATTATTTGGATGACACTTGGTCTAAACTTAGACTTGCTGTAATCGCCATTCAAACCTCCAAAGCCATCGCTATGCCTTTAGAAGAATTGTATAAAGCGGTTGAAAACATTTGCTCTCATAAAATGGCCTCAAAATTATATTCTAACCTGGAGGATCTTTGTGAAGAACATGTTAAACAGAATATCGGCCAATTTATCGATTGTAATATGGACTCATTGACTTTCCTTAAAACAATGGATAACTGTTGGCAGGATCATTGTCGACAAATGGTATTAACCTTTGTTATTACAAAGAAGAGGAAAATTCATTTTCCATTTTTATTCTTAAATGAAATTTACCGGTTGTTATTGAAATGTTCTTCTCTTTTCTCTTTGTTATACAGATCATGATAAGAAGTATTTTTCTCTTCCTTGATAGAACGTATATCCTCCAAAATGCGGCCATCACATCCATTTGGTAAATTGTTTTCTTCTCTATTTTCATTCAAATACATTCAACGACTAATTACAAATGATCACAAGAAATTTCTCTTCTCTGCCAAACCTCAAATCTAATTTAGAGGAGATTGTGTGTGTGTGTGTATTGGATTCCCTTTTGAATTTATATAACACAACCTTCATCATATGTCTTTTCTTGCACACCTTTCGGTTTAATTGATTGAATAATAATTTTCTTTTCTTTTTTTTTCTCACAGGGATATGGGTTTAGAAATGTTCCGAGTAAATATAATCAGTAATTACCAGGTTCAAAGCAGAACTGTTGAGGGTTTACTTCATCTAATTCACCAGGAAAGACAAGGAGAAACAGTTGACCGATCATTATTGAAAAGTTTACTCAGAATGTTGTGTGATCTTCAAATATATCAAGAGATATTTGAAGGTAAATTTTTAAAAGCAACTGAAGAGCTTTATGCCGAAGAGGGACAACGACTGATGCAAGAATTAGAAGTTTCCGCTTACCTGGCCCATGTTGATAAAAGAGTTAACGAAGAAACAGAAAGACTTTTACATTATTTGGATCATTCTACTAGGAAATTACTAATCACCTGTGTTGAGAAACAATTAATAAGTGAACATTTATCCAGTATACTTCAGAAAGGTTTAGACCAGTTATTAGATGAGAATAGACTGGACGATTTATCTCTCAAGTATAATCTTCTTTCAAGAGTGAAAGAGGGTCTACACGAATTGTGTATACATTTTAATCAATACATTAAGAAACGAGGTAAAGTTATCGTCACCAATCCAGAAAAAGATAGAACAATGGTTCAAGAATTACTCGATTTCAAGGATCAAATGGATCTAATTGTTAACAATTGTTTTAACAAGAATGATAAATTTATCAACTCACTGAAAGAAGCCTTTGAACATTTTATCAACCAAAGGCCCAATAAACCAGCCGAGTTGATTGCTAAATTTGTCGACTCTAAACTACGAGCGGGTAACAAGGAATCAACAGAGGAAGAATTGGAAAGACTTTTGGACAAGATTATGGTTCTATTCAGATTTATCCATGGTAAAGATGTTTTCGAAGCTTTTTACAAAAAAGATTTAGCAAAAAGACTTTTGGTCGGTAAATCGGCATCAGTTGATGCAGAGAAGTCAATGTTATCCAAATTGAAGCAAGAATGTGGTGCCGGTTTTACCAGTAAATTGGAAGGAATGTTCAAAGATATGGAACTTTCAAGAGAACTTAATCTTGCCTTTAAACAATATCGTTCAAATTCCAAGTCTCGAAGTCTCAGTGGTATCGATATGACGGTTAATATTCTCACAATGGGCTATTGGCCCACATACGCGGTGATGGAGGTTCACATGCCCTCCGAGATGGTTCAGTATCAAGAGATGTTTAAAAAATTTTATTTAGGTAAACACAGTGGACGTAAATTACAATGGCAACCCAATCTTGGTCATTGTGTATTGAAAGCTCAATTTCCCTCGGTAATTATATTAATATCTGACTCAATGAATCATTTTATCTCGATTCATTTATTATTCTAATCATGAAAATTTTTCTCTTCTCTTTTTTTACTTCTCTTCGTAGGCGCTGAAAGAATTAAATGTTTCCTTATTCCAAGCGTTAGTACTTCTTTTGTTCAATACTAAAGATAAATTGTCTTTGGAAGAGATTAAACAATTAACAACAATAGAAGATGGTGAATTAAGGAGAACCCTTCAATCTCTTGCTTGTGGTAAAGCTCGAGTACTCAAGAAACTGCCCACAGGTCGAGATGTTGAAGATGGAGATAAATTTATTTACAACGGAGAATTTAAACACAATTTGATTAGAATAAGAATAAACCAAATCCAATTAAAAGAAACGGTGAGTTTTCTTTTCCTCATTATGATTTGTGAACTAATATTTTTTATTATTTTCATTGGAAAAAAATTAGCAAGAGGAACAAACTAACACTCAAGAAAGAGTTTTCCAAGATAGACAATATCAAATCGATGCCGCTGTGGTGCGAATCATGAAAACAAGAAAATCTCTGGCTCATAATAATCTAATCACTGAACTTTACGATCAGTTGAGATTCCCTGTTAAGGTAATTAACATTTTCTAACCACTAAATTCATCCCAAGTTATTAATCTAACATTTTACTTGATCTCTCTCTCTCTCTCTCTCTCTCTCTCTCTCTCTCTCTCTCTCTCTCTCTCTCTCTCTCTCTATAGCCTCTTGATTTAAAAAAAAGGATTGAAAGTTTGATAGAAAGAGATTACTTGGAAAGAGATAAGGATAATCCTAATTTGTATCATTATCTTGCTTGAATTTATTACCATTGTGATACCAGTTCTATGGAGTTTCATTCCCTATTAAATAAGGATGAAACACTTCAACTAATAAACAAATTACATCAATAATTATTAGTATGATCATCCAATTGTCCAAGGAAGGAAACGACTTTTAAATTAACGGTCGATTGTAATTAAATCATTTAAATCCTAAATCGAAAAGTTAAGATTTCTACTCTAGGGTTAATCCGAGATTCTAAAAACAAAAATAATCATTATTTAAAAGTTTCCACTAGAGAAACAATTAACCGACTAGTTAATCATAATTTCAAATCATCGAAATCAATGATATTTGTATTCTTTTAATCTCTAGCCTTGATTTGGTGTCTTAATTAACTTGGATGATGAATGAAAAAGAATACATTGATTTAAAGGAGTTGAATCAACTATTTTTAACCAAAAATTGTAGTTTGTTTTTAATTATTTGTAACTTTTCAATTTAAATCAATAGTTGAAGATTAGATTGATTTGTTATCAGGTAAACAAATTTACAAGATTGTCAAAGCGATGCAATCACACTTGGTTTTTGAATTAGTCGCGAAAACGAATAACAATTAAAAGAAACAAATTGATATGTAAGAAGAAAATTTTAGATTAGCATTATAAACATTTCCACAAGTCCAGGTATTATCGCAACAATGATTTCTTTCGAGCTGCAAGCTTCAAACCAGTCCGAGTATAAGGGTATATCTTATTAAAGAATACAAATAATGCTTCTGGACAAATTCCAGCTCTTAATAGATCAACAACGATACTAATAAAAAGAAAAGAGAATAAGCAATTAGATGAAAGATCAAATACAAATAGAAAAAAGAAAAATGAAAGCAAAAAAAAATGGCGGTAAATGAATTCTCTGAATTTGTACTTACCAGAATACTTGATAATCCATATCAATGTTGACAGTCTCTACCAATTGATACAATTTTCGATAGATTAACTCTTTATCCTCTTTAAATGTTATATTGGCATCCAATAAATCATCGGAAGATTTTATCGGCGAAGGCATAATTAATTAGACACAATTGAGAATTAAGGTTAAGCAAAACTAAACAAAGTCGCCACTGGAAAGCATACAAGAAGCAAATACAGTAAACAAGCAGATAATGAGGTTGCTGTGTAAATCAGCTATTCTTACGAAGTGTCCATTGTCGTGACGACGCTGTCGTAATTGTAATGACAACAGAAAATTTAGATTAAGGATCGTTGAAAAAAAATTGTCTCATTATCTGGTTGTTTATTGTATTAACGTTGATTTTTGCTTTTTTTCATTTTTCTTTAGCCTTGATATGGTGTCTTAATTAACTTTACATGATGAATGAAAAAAAATTTACTTTGATCTAAAGGAGTTGAATTAACTGTTTTTAACCAAAACTTGAAGTTTGTTTTTAATTATTCGTAATTTTTCAATTTAAATCAATAGTTGAAGATTAGATTGATTTGTTGTCATGTAAACAAATTTACACGATTGTCAAGGCGATGCAATTACACTTGGTTTTTGAATTAGTCGCGAAAACGAATTACAAATGGAAGAAGGAAATTGATGATTAGGTGTTATGGTCATTTTAGATTAGCATTGAGATCGATCAGCAAGAATTAAATAATTAGAGGTATTGGGGCTGGTCAAAGTTCGAAGGAAACATTTCTCATGGCATATCGTTTATAAACATTCAACATGGAATTGAAAAGTAAAAGTAGTCCCATACAAATGATAACAAAGAAATTGATGAAAACATCTCCGGAAGTCCAGGTATTATCACAACAATCATTTAGGTTAAGATCTGAATCAAGGATCGACATCGTTTGTATGTTGTGTCTTCTGGACTTGATTCTTGTAATAATTTCTCTGCACGGGTTACTAATTGTCGACGAGCAGCACAATCCGATCCAAAACTACCAACATACTCTAAGAAAATATTGAATTGATCGTCATCCATGAAACCTTCATTAGACCAATTTTTAACCAACCAAATGTTTATTGCTTTATTGAATTTCCACTCTCCGGTTTCTTCACGTGTTGACCAGGAATCAAGATAATTTAACACCTTCTTTTTTTTAACAACAGTAAAAGCAGCAATTTTCTTTTCCAATTTAATCTTCTTCTTACCTCGACGATGTTTTCTTTTATTCCGCTTTTTACTTTCTCGAGTTTTTTTACCACTACTACCGCTTTTTACATTAGTTACCTTAGAAACATCTGAACTAACATCAGTAGATTTAATTTCCATTCTCCAAATACCAGCTACTGTGGAAGAAATAAAAAAAGAAACATATCAATACAAAATAACAAAGAAGAAAATGAAAATCATGCTTGAATAAAAAGCAAGAGAAAACCAAACACATGGTCAACCATTTTTACCTTTAAAAGAACAAAACGAAACAGATTCAAAGAAGACAATATGTTAATCTAATCCACATAGATGGACATCACAATCAGTTGATTAGATTTTTATAAAAAAAAATGTAGAAAACAATAAGTAAATTAAATTAATTAACAACAAACAAGAAAATTTGTTAAACCAGAAATTTTTTTAAAGAGAAAAATTATTAGGGGTCGTATTCTTATAACAGTTTGAGAAGAACTAATTTGATTCGATTTCGAATTGGATTAGGATTGATTCGAAGGTCATTTTCCTCGACCGGAATTTTATCATTTTGAGTTCTCACGACTTTGGTATGGTCGCGATCGACAACTTATTAGGTCATTTTGATTAGAATATTTTCGGGCACTTAATATACGGTCCATCGATTTTCTATCATTTGAAATGATTCATTTCCATTGGAAACGATTTAGATTTTATCAATTGCTTGGAAATTTGATTTTTTTTTCTAACATTAGATGTAAAATTAAGATGTAAAAGCAAAATTATTTATTAGCTTAATTGTAATAGGTTTCCATTGGAATGATTGTAGTGAGAAAAATGGATTTTTCTATTGATGAACATTGTCTCTTTGATTCATGTTGATGAATTTCATTGCATCTTTCTTGCGATTATAATTGTTGAGAAATTTAAATGTTGGATGATTAAAGAGTATATTAAGCAGGTCACTATGAGCATTTTTTTGTTTGTTAAAATTAAACGTATAACTGTTTAGGTTTTTATGGGTAACATGTTCACAAGTAATGGCCACTTATCCTGTTAATCCCATCAAGATATTGCTTGATACCAACTCGAGCAAGTCAACAAGCAACACCAATTCTCTAATAAGAAATGAGTATAACAACAGAAAAAACAGGAAGATAATAAATTAATCTTAAATCAGCGAATGTTTAATTTTGCGATGGTAAACTTCTTCTTGATTTCTTTCGAGCTGCAAGCTTTAAACCAGTCCGAGTATAAGGGTATATATTGGAAAAGAATACAAATAATGCTTCTGGACAAATTCCAGCTCTTAATAGATCAACAACGATACTAATAAAAAGAAAAGAGAATAAGCAATTAGATGAAAGATCAAATACAAATAGAAAAAAGAAAAACGAAAGCAAAAAAAAAAAATGGCGGTAAATGAATTCTCTGAATTTGTACTAACCAGAATACTTGATAATCCATATCAATGTTGACAGTCTCTACCAATTGATACAATTTTCGATTGATCAACTCTTTATCCTCTTTACATGTTCCATTGGCTTCCAACAAATCATCGGAAGATTTAATCGGCGAAGGCATAATTAATCAAGCAACAATTAAGAAAGAATCAAACGTAATCCAAACAAAACAAAGTCTCCATTCAATGGACTCCATTGGAAATTAATTCAATTCAATTTTCTCCTCGACTGTGGCTCCATCTTTTCGAATTTAACAAAATTCGATTCTCTTGCAAAAAAGATTCTTAAAAATTTTTTCTATTATTTTCTTTTCTTTTATCTAATATTTTTACCAACAATCTGTTATAATTTGTAAATCTTATTTTATAAATTCTCCTAATCTAAATTGATATTATTAGTAAATCTAACCTTTTGTATGATGAAACTTATAAATTGATTTGTGACGGTTGAACATATGATCGCTCGAGGGCAGCACTTTGAGGCTGCTCAGTTGTATGAAAACCGTAAAGGTCAATTCAATTGACTCAATTGAGTTTCTCTCAATAAAATTATTTCATCTTTATTGTTGATTTCAACCACTTGTTTAATTTCATTCTCGTGTTTAAAAGTTGCTTTGGTTTGGTGTTTTTTTTTATAATCTTTATTACTTTTCCATCTAATTGTAATTAAACACTAATTGTGATTCATCTTTTTATGTCTTCAATTGGTCTTCAAGTAAGTGTTTCTTTCATATGCCATATGAGATGGTGACTTCATCTTTGTTTTCAATTTGTTTTTTTCTATTCTTTTCATTTGCTTTCTCTCTCATTCTTTCATTTTCTTGACTCATCATAATTATCTTTACCTTGTTTGTATTGGTTATTCTCATAGTAATTAATCATCTTCTATTATCATTTTTTCTTTTCACTTTCTCATCTTATCTTATTTTTTTTTCTCTACATAGTTATATCTAAAGCTCTAATTATTTTAATACTTGTATACTTTGGTACCGAATATTAGTGTTTATGGAAGATTACAAGTATCTATTTAAAATTGTTCTAATTGGAAATGCTGGTGTTGGTAAAACATGTCTCGTTCGTCGATTTGCTCAGGTATTTATCACCTTTAAATCTTCCTAATTGTTGAGAATAATTCAGATTAACATGACAAAAATTGAGGTTTTATTTATTTACTTTTTTGAGAAAATTGTTCTCCTTTGAAAGTATCAAAATTTTCCTCCAATTCCAAGAAGTAGAATCGCAAAAAAAAAATAATGTCCATCGTAAATCTACCCTGACGAACTTATTTTAACCTATTCTTGATGATTGGAAAGTTAAACTGTTACAATCAACTGAACCGATTAGTGTCAGGGTTACAATCTAATTAAGATGAACATTATCGAGGTGATTTGGGTAGGAATATAAATACAATTCTCTATTTATCTTTGATTATTTTCCTCTTTCTCTAATCTAATTATAATTTCATTTCTAAATTTTCACTATTTTTTCTCTTAGGGTTTATTTCCTGGTGTACAGGGTGCAACCATTGGAGTTGATTTCATGATTAAATCATTGATGGTCAATGGTAAGAAAAAAAAACAGAAGAAAACAAAGGAGATGATGATGATGATTATCATTAAGGTTTTATTATTGCTCAAAGAAAATGACCTTTCCATTGACTATCCGGGAACCACGTAAAGTGATTACCTTTGTCTTCATCTTCTATCATCTGTCCACCTTATTTTTATTTCTTTTTGCATCTTCTTCTTATTCTCTCTCTCTCTCTCTCTCTTGATTAACTACTGACCAGAAAAAAAGCGCATCATCACTCTTAGTTTGTTATATTGGTGTTGAAAAAAAGTCTCAGTCAACCATATCAACACGATCAATGGACCAGGCCAAAGTTATCAATTGCTTTTTTACGTTTGGATTATGACCTTGACTGAGCACAAAATTAAACGGACAAACAAACATGAGCCTCTCCTAGTCAAAGATAATGATTATATTACAAATACAACTTCTCGATGTTACCTGAATACCGTTAGATATTTCCTCAGTTATTTGATAATCTTAATCGCCATCATCTCTAAATTGAACGATAAAAGATAAAAGACTCTAAAGAGGAGTGACAAATTAGAAATTAATATACAATCATTTACGGCAAAAGTGATAACTGGTCGTCGATTTTGTATTCATCATCTTATTAATTGTACTCGCTTTCTCCTTTAAGTAGTTCAACGAACCTGATTCCATTCACACTTAACTCCCTCACAATTACCATCACCAATATCTACAATTTTCGTCCTTCGCTCGTTCAACTTTGAACTAATTTCTTCAACAAAACTAGTCAACATTTTTCTGATCTCTCTCTCTCTCACACACACACTCACAAACCCAATCAAATCATTCATTATCGCCCATTCTCGTACCCGGTGCTGGCAATGCTCATTCTGATATTGTTGCTAAATTGTTTGACTGGTTGACTTGATTTACAGTACTTTTCACATTCACACAACCAAATAATCTGGATACAATCTCTTTTTTTTCATCTTCTATTATTTTACAACAAAAATAATAACAAACGCAATCTCATCATCACCATCACCTCTTCTCTATCTCTCTCATTTTACTGGCCTTTATCTTTTTCATCATCATCATTTCAATCATTTTCTTTTATTCTTTTCTCTTCGTTTATCATTTAATCTCATTCATTCATTTTCTTTCTTCAAGATGTCAAAGTTAAACTTCAAATCTGGGACACCGCTGGTCAGGAACGGTTTCGATCGATAACTCAAAGTTATTACCGAAGTGCTCATTGTTTAATCTTGGTTTATGATGTTTTCTCCCAATGCTCATTTGATTCACTACCCCAATGGTGCCGAGATATTGATCAATATGCTGGTGCAGCGATTGCAGGTAAACAAAAAAGTCCAACAATTGAAAAAAAAAACAATTGTTGGTCAAGTGAAATTTATCAATGAATTTTCAATTAGTTTTTAAAATTTTCTCCTCCCATCATAACCAAATTTGTAGTCTCTCTCTCTCTCCCTTGTGTCCTTTCAAAATAACTAATTCATTGATCAACTAATTGAATTCACCTTAAACAACAAAAATATACTAATCATTAGAGAGAAAGTCATAAAAATAACCTTGAGAGTTTATAACAATTAACATAATATTGACATCAACGATCAGTTTTTACTTCCATCATATTGACAATTGAGAAACTTACAAGTATTTACTTTTCTATTCATTTGATATTCGTCTCTCCAAAACTAATTAACTAATCAGATCACATTAACTTATCAATATATGAAAAGTGATTCTTAAAATACAATATTGTAGTAATAATATACAATAATTTAAATGATCATGTTAATCGTTAGAAAAGACAATACCTTAATTAGTTATTCTCTCATTATTATTAATTTTGTCGCTCAGTAGTTTTTTTAAATTGTTAACTAAAAATAGTTACAAGAAGACGATTGATCTTTTCTCGTTTTCTTTAAATTATTATTATGGTTACTTGATTTTCTTATTATCTAAATGAGTGATTAAAAATGTTGAATTTATCTTATTCTGTCCCAGGTAACGGTCGTAACGTCCTGAAAGCGCTGGTTGGTAATAAATGTGATAAAGACCGTGAAGTCCCTTTACACATTGCTGAACAATTTGCACACAACAACAATTTCGATATATTCATGGAAACATCAGCACTTGAGGCCGAAAATGTTGAGAAATTATTCCGTGAGATTGCCAAGATTCTGGTTACCCGCGCGCAACAAGCTAACGGTGGATCCATATCTCGATCTGTAACCCAGAATAGTTTTAATCAATCGACGAGATCATTTAGTTGTCCAAATTGTGTACCTAATTAGTTATCTACACCCAATTCACCCCAATCTAAATTATATAGTTTATTAACTATATATTATCACAATTATTTTCTATTTGATTTTTGTGACTTTAACTTTCATTCCAATTCTTTTTCTATTTACTTAAATTTCTCTCTCTTCTCTCTCACTTTAATTTGCTTACTTAATAGTCACAATCGATCACAACTCCAACATCAATCAACCACCAAAAAAAAAACATTAACTCATCAAAATCACCACCAATGAATTGATATATATTTAGTATATATAACGATGAAATTAAAAACATCAACATGATTTACTAATTATAGCTGATTGTCAGCTTTCAAATTCACCTCTGCCTTTGCATTTTAAATCATAATTCAATTTGTATCAATTATTGTTGTTAATTTCCTGTCGTGATTATTTTCCCTCTCCCATTCAAAATCACAATTTAAATCTAAATCTTAATAACAGCAATTAACTAAATCAAATAATTTGTCTCATTTTCTTTCATACTTCCAAACAATCAAAGAACACAATCTGTTAACTTAAATTCAGTAGATCTTAAATTGTTCACATACTCAACAATTTCTAAAGAAAAAAAATTACCAAAAATCAAAACGAGCGATTAAACTAATCTACTTAATTCAAAGTGAAATGATTAACTTGTCAAATCGAAGATCAACTTACTCGATTGATCGAGACGATTAACGTGATAAACTAATGACAATTGAATTTGCATGTAAACCGAATTGATTTGATTATGTAAACACAAAGAGTGCACCTAAACAATTATAAAAATAAGTTAATTGTGATTGTAAATTGGAAGAAAAAAATTCGAGCCTGCTAGGACTTGAACCTAGAATCTTCTGCTCGTTAGGCAGACGCGTTATCCAAATTGCGCCACAGGCCCGACAATTAAATGGATTAAATTAATTAGCACCGGCGACAACTCCATTTTCAAATGATGACTGATGATGGTGATGAAGATGATGATGATTGGATAAATAGTTTAACTATGATTAAGAGTGTTAGTGGATGATGAAGATATCACAAGTATTAGTACTAATGTTGATTCTGTTGGTAGTAAGATGAGCGCAACTTGATGAGAGGATTTGGCGAAATCAAATTGAATGACAATTTTTTGGAATCTTTTGTAATCATAACTTTGTTATGGGGAACATTAAGATAACACAGAGATGAAAAGACGAAGGAGAAAAGAAAACTAGAAATAAAGAGAAGTGAGAGAAAGATTAGAGTGGGAGAGAGAGAGAGAAAAGTGAGGAATAAGTAATAGTAATAGGAAAAAGGTGAAAGGTGAAAGGTGAAAGGTGAAAGAGGTTGAGAGAATGAGACAATTAATCGCTTCTCATGTTAATCATTTTGAACTAGTTATTGGAATAATCTTCATTTCTTTTTGTAATCTTTGTTTTGCTTTTCTCCTTCTTCTCCTTTTCCCTTTCTCTTTGGGTGTTTGGTGAGTGATTTTGTTAGGTGTCTTTGTGTTGGTGATGGTTTTCCCGCCCATGGTTAAGTACATAAGTGTAAGTTGTTTGTGCATCTTGAACAAAAATAAAACCTAAACTAAATCGATAAACATAATTGATTAGTATTTGGTCACCGGTGCAAGGTCTTTATTTTTGTTCAGGAAAAATCCAAGTCATCATCATCACCATCATCTTAATCATTTTTGGATTAGCTGAATCAGCTGATTCTTTTAGGTTATCACTTTCCGCCGTTGAGGTTAACATTGTAAGGTCACTATTTCTTTGGTTAGATCACATGCTGACAAAAATTTCGTAAGTGATAGAGGGAATGGACAAAAATTTCTGTGAGTGTTAAAAGGCTTTTTTTTACTCTATCTCTCGCCATTTTTCATTGCGCTCTCAGGAGTTTTTTTTGTTTTGTTTCATCAATTACAATTACAAGTTTTTTTTGTGTTTTTGCAGGTAGGTTTTTTTGGTTTATTATCCTTTAATTCAGTTCACGATCCTCTAAGTACCGGTACTCAAATGTGAAATGTTCTTTTTTCCGTTGGCCCCACTTTTCATAGTCAAAGTATACATAAGTGCCCTAGAAAAGGAAAAGAGTGAAAACACAAAAGGAGAAAAAAAAACAAATTTCAATTAGATGTTGACTTTAAAATGTAGTTTGATAAAATTAGTGAAAAAGAGAAATAAAGGTGAGTAAATTAAATGGATAAAATTATATATTTTTATCTCAATCCGAAAATTACCTGTTCGTACTCGTCAGTGATTGTTTTTGGTTCCTCATGACGTTGAAACCACATCATATACTTTGTATGGAAACGCCATGACTGTTTTTTCAAAGCTTTAGCTGCCAGGTACTGCGCCTTTGTACCCTAATAATTTCAAATCAAATAGAATAAAAAAGTAAAAAAGAATAAAATTAGTTGTCTATATTAGCAAGTGTGAGCAGATGATGATGATGATGATGATGATGAAGGCTAAGTAGTAACAATGTGGTTACCTCCATAAAATAAAAAATGAAGAATAATGTCTCAGTTGAGAGTCGATGGAAGAACTCAACAGAATCGCTATGTGGCAAGGCTTGTTGCGGATAATATGACGGCGTCGGACATGGATTCGGAGGCAAATATGGTCTAATAGAAGTATATAATTATATATATAAAACATTAATAAAGAGAGAGAAATATTTTTGAAAATAAAGGGAGAGAAAGACGCACAATCAGGGGAAGAGAGAAAGAGATAGAAAGATAGAAAAGAGAGAGAGAGAGAGAGAAAGAAAAGGTAAGAAGATTACAGGTAAAACACATGTTTTTTCATGTTCTTATCTGAAAAGTGATAATAGAATTACCAAAGAGAGATTTTATTTAGTAAAAGTAAAGATGAAGGAGAAGGTTAATAATTGAAAGGAAATTATAAAAACACTAATCACACTAAAGGTAAATGGTGATCAACTCACCTTAGCCTCTGAGAATCAACTGGATAAATGGTATGTCTACAGGCAGCCTCAAGCATATGAAGTTGATATAGACATTGTTTAGGTAGCTGTACAGGTCCTAAAGGAGCAACACCTAACAACGGTGGAATATGGGCTTCTGACTGATGCATCCCGGTTGAACTGGCAGGACTAACGGCAGAATTTGCCGCGGAGGAGGTTAAATTTGATACTGAAGAGGAAACACATGAAGGCATAATCAGAGATTTACTATTACCACTTAATAAACCTATCACTGATGATGTTGTTGATGTAACATTTGAGGCATTACTGTTCATTGAGTTAGTGGCAGCTCCTGACATGGATGTGCTTGTCTCAAAAAGATTTGAAGTAGATAAAGTAGTAGTAGCATCGTTCATATTAGAATTCTCCAACCCTGCACTCGCAATAGCTTGTTGGGCTATTGATTTAAGTGAGGACATGGATGTTAATTGGTTCACGGGCGCAGAAGTTGTTCCTAAACCTTGCCCAGGTCCAGAGTTGCTTGACTGTTGTTGTTGTGGTTGAGATTGAGGTTGTTGTTGTTGTTGTAACTGTGAAGATACTTTAACACCAAGACCTCCAGGTACGGATGGTCCATTCATTATCAGAGGATTATTATTATTACTGTTATTACTATTACTATTGTTGTTGATGTTGTTGTTGGTATTAGTATTGTTGTTGTTAGTGGTGATATTCAAATTGGTGTTGATATTCGTAGTGTTTACAAGTTGGCTTATCGCAGAACTATTTGAATTAACCTGACTCCTAGAAGAACCAATCGTTTGACTCCATGGGCCTGATGTAAGTGAGGATAAGGTGACTGATGTGGATGTGGGTACAGCAGTAACCGCTGCAGCCATGCTGTAAGATGCTGCAGAGTTACTAGTAGTTGTGATACCTAGACAAAGGAAGATGAAAAACAGAAAAAAAAAGATTAGATGATGTTCACTTTTAAATGATAAGAGTTGATGAATGTTTAAAAGGTAACAAGTGTAAGATAAAAAACAGAAGAAAAAAAGGAGCATAGAGAGAAACGAGAGAGAGAGAGAGAAACGAGAGAGAGAGAGAGAGAAAATTAAACCGCTTGCTTCAAATTGATACAGATAAAAACTCAATGTAACAATTAGTAATGATGATGGATAATTGAAGAAATTTAAATTCTGGGAAAAGTCTAACTTTAATCTGTCATCGATTTAAGTGCAATGTCAAATGTGTTTCTTTTTCTATCATTCCAATTAAAAGGCAAATTATGCAATGAAATTAACCCTTGATTTTCCTTCTTCTTAATGCTTTGGGTCTGTTCAAGAAAAATTAATCTCTTGTAATTTTCTAGGGAATATTGGAAGATAATAGTTATCTGATATTTTTTTGCTTCTTTATCCAATTTTTTTAATCAATCTTACCATTTAATGGATTGTTAACAGAAGGTGGACTGTTATTAGCGCTGTTGCTACTACAGTGACTTATATTACTGCTGCAACTGCTGGTTCTAGAATTCATTCGAGATGAACAACTTTTCTGATTCAATTCTAAAGAGAAAAAAGATAAAATGAATTTTATATTGAGCGAACAGAAAAAATATAAAGATAGAATAGAGAGAGTTGATAGAATATGAATGGAAACTCAAACAGAGTAACAACAAAAGAAAGAAGACAAATAAGTAATAAATACATAAGCAGAGGGTGAATAAGCTACTTCGTTCTGAGAGAAAATAGTTGCCTAGTGAATGGAGAGAGAGAAGCAAAACAAATGGGAAACAATTAACGAGAACCTCAAGAAAGAGAGAGATCAATAGTGAAAATCCGGTACAAATCGTTGACTAAATGGACACAAAAAAAACGAACGAGCTAAAATAGAAGAGTAAACAAAATTTCGTGACTTTGTAACCTTTTTTTTTAAGCTGCAACTATTAAATATTGTTGAAACGATGAGAGTTTAAATTGACATGTGAAAAAGAAACACATTTTGATGGGATGAAAGTGAAGTTTGTACACACAGAGAACAGTGAGAAGACACAGAAATGATATTAAGGTAATTTTCTGGTTTCCATTGATGATGGACACTGTAATTGACCAGAATGACTTACCTGAATATATTGACGATGATGAGGATGTCACCATTGTGGTTGAAGTGTTGGTTGTTGCTGTTGTTACTGTAGAGATTGTTGTTGTAATTGTTGTAGACACTGTTGTTGTTGTGGTAGTTGTTGTTGTTGTTGATAAAGTTGAGGTTGCAGTAGTTGTTAAATTTGTCCCTGTTGTTGTGGTTTGGGATGTGGATACTTTGCTCGATGAATTACTCGATGAAACTGAGGGAATTGAGCTACTAACAGACGTAGAGAGAGACCAAACAGGCTGAGGTTTAACATTAGAAGAAACAGAAGAGGAGAGAGAAGAAGATAGAGAAGAGAGAGAAGAAGATCCCGTTGTTGTTGATGATGAAGTAACTAAAACACCATTATTATTAGTAATGGTGCTATTGGTAATAGAGTTGCTTGTGGAGTTATTCACAGATGTACAACTAGCATTGACAGTGGTTCCTGGATTACATAAATCCATTACTCCCTTGGAATGATTGGTCAATCCTGGACTGGGAGCGGGTGAACTTGAAGTTGATGTTGGGGTATAAGAATGAACAGAATTGGCTCCCTCTTCATCACCGGTGGCATTAGAAGAATTTGTTGTTTTAGTTGTCCCACTATCAAATGAAGCAGTGTGGTTTGCAAGGGCTGCTCTAGTTTTGGCTAGATACTCTTGCATATCGTCCAACTCTAAATCTTCATAAATATATTCATTCTCCTCAAAATCAGGATCTTGACAAGATTCAATATAATATTCAACGTCATCTTTTATCTTTTTAATCTGATCCACGTCCACTGTATCATTATCTAACATCCTCATAAGAGTTTCTAATTGATTAATATGATACCGATGTTTTTCTAACCAATTTTTTAATTCTTCGACTCGATCTGTTTTCTCCTTGTCACTTTTTTTCTTTTTTAACGCAACCAAAATGGCTTCATTCTCACATTCAAATTGATCTATTTGGATTTTGAGTTGAGCTATTGAATCGGCCATCCAATTTGTCACCTCATCCTTTTCTCTTTGTGCTGGATCTAATTTTTGCGCTGCTCCCAGGCCTTCTTTAGAATATGCCTTTGTTTTTGTCTCCCTCTCTAACACTTTAAACCTTTCCATTTGAGTCTCTATGAGTTTCCTATCGTCCAGTAATAACCTTTTATCCTTAATCTCACTTGAGGCAATCCATGATTTAATCTGGTCTCGAAGCCTCTGTAAATAAAGAAGAAGAAAAAAAAAGACAAACAAAACGTAATTAAAAGAGAGAAACAAAAAGAAAATATTGATTGATCAACTTTTTCTTTATCCACATGGTTCAATATTCATGAGTTCTGTTGTTATTTGATGCAATCAGAGATATATATCCATTTGAGAAAATGTAGATAATAAGTAAACCGTAAATCCTGAGCCAAAGTAAAATCAGGATATACAAAATTGTCGAAAATGACAAAAATGAGTTACACTATCCGATGCAAAGTATTAAGGGTAAAAGAGCTAAGCTTACAGTACAATAAGTGAGGATAACTGATTCTTTACTATATCTCTAAATTTGACACAACTATTTGAGTGATTGAGAACATAACAAAAAGAAGAAGAATCCATGAATCCAAGTTAAAGCTAATGAAAATTAGAATACACTTCTAAGAAGAGATATACCAACCTGAAGCTTTTTAATTTCTTTCTTGAGATCAGCTTCGTATTTTTCTTTTTGATTAGAGTTTGGGGCATTGTGAGCCTTGTGCCACAAATCCTCGAAGGTTTCAACTCCTTCTTGCACTTTCTTGTGGCATCGCTCAATCTCACCTGTAGAAAGAGAAAGAGAAAGATGGAGAGGAAAAGAGAGAGAGAGACAAAATTAGAAGAATGAAAATTTGCAAATAATGTTCCATGAAACAGAGAGATAGAGAAGGTATAACCCCATCATAGAAAGAGAGAGAAATAAGATGCAAAGCATGACAATGATTGAAAAAAAAAGGTTTAAAGGGAAGAAGAAAAAATAGAGAAGAATAAAAAAGAGAGAGATGGAACCAAATAGAAAGAGAAAGAGAGGAAAGAGCTTTGAAAGAAAATGAGAGAGAAAGAAAGAGAGAGAGAGAGAAGTGGAGAGTAGAAATAAAAAGAGATCATACCTTGAAGTTTTCTTCTATCGGCCATGTTGTTGCTAACATTTGAATAAGAGGATCACAATGGTGTTGTATTAACTTGAGATTTGGACAGTAGATTAAAAAAAATGAATAAACAATTGAAAAAATTAATTTAATTGACACAAAACATTAACAAGATTGAATTAGAGAAACTCAGGAAAACGCAGATTGTGGCTCCTCCAATCGGTCTTGCTTTGTCAGCAATCTAACCGATTTTCTAATTGCGAACAGCGCCACCTCTTGGTGGGCCTTTCTACTCTTCGATTAGTCAATTTAATCCTTTTTGTTTTGTTTAAGATTCTAATTTTAATCTCTTGTTTAAATCTGATTGTTTCACGATTATTGTTGTATATTAATTTGTCAACTGTATTTGTGTAATTACGGTTGATCCAATGGAAGGTTAAGTTTTATAATTGAACGTTTTTTTCAATGTTCATCTTAATGAGCTGAAATATCAGCTAGCCGATTGAAATGAATTTCATCATTTTCTTGTTTGGTTTTTTGTTGCAACTAGATTAACTTAAATAATGAATCAACTGTTGACTAATTAATGGAAATGTAATTGTTTCTTGTGCACTGAGTAGATTTTTTATGTCCCGTTTGGAGAAGGTTAAAAATAACTGTCAAATTTATGTGACCTTTAGGTTAGAGCGACGATAGTGACTCTTAGTTTTGGCCTGGAAATTGTGAATCGTTTTAATTGTTGGTCATGATTTGGTGAATCTCAATTTATCTTTCTTACTTAATATGCTAGATTTGGACTATTGGGGGCTTGAAATTCAATTGGTTAACGAAATGTTAAAATAATTGATTATCTGTTTATGGTAAATTCAAAATAATTGCTTAGAGAATGATTTAATTAGACGACCGAGTTTACGATAAATTGTGGATGTTGATGAACTCAAAGAGGACAACGAGTGTGGGTGAGATTAAATCTCTCAATTCCATGGAATATGAATTATCTATTCCCCTGAAATCTGTCTCACAATTGTGATTGATGAAGATAAGGTCATTTAAGGCCCGATTAATTACGAGGATTAAACGAGACGGAGATTAAGATGGAAAGGTAACCAGATTAATTGTTGATTCGTTATGATTGTAATAGGTTAATATTCACTAAACACAAGGTTAAAGCACAGAATTAGAAAGCAAATTGTTATAATCAAGGCTGGGGAAGGATTAATATCAAGGATCATTTTGGTTATTTGCTAAATTGTAACTGAATTAAAGTTAATTAAAGAAACAGTGTAAAGTATCCTAACCACAAATCACTGTTTTCTGATTCCTAATTGTTTAATATCAATTTGATTGTGTTTATTGTTAAGTAATTGTGATTGATTTGTTAATGATCAAGTTGATCTGTCGCTATCAATATTGTCGAAGATGATAATAGTGATGGAATTTATAATTTAGTTTATTCCATGTGCTAATTGTTGGTGAATGTTCATGAGAATCAAAAATGTTCTCGTTGATTTTGTTCACCAAATTAAGTTTGTCTTGTTTTCTATCAAATTGTTCTTGCCTCAGGGCGAGAATGCACGGCTTCCTAATCGAGAAAATGACCCATTGTCTCGAGTTCGATCTTTCTCTTTTGATTCTTTCTTGGTCACTTGACGAATAGATGAAAGGCCTTTGTTAACCGACAACTTTTCGCTTGTTGTGTCTCAGCTTGGACGTTGTTCGGTTGAAGGACAAGCTCTTGATTTCGAAATTCGTCCTCGATAAGGATCCATTCACTTTGCGCTAATTTCAATTCGAACTTTCAAAGTTTCGATGCTAACGATGTGAAGAAGTCACATCGATAGGCACTGAGCCATTCCTCATGTTTCGCTCTTGAACTTTCCCTCTTTCTCATCTGAGATAAATCAATTGATTTAATATCGAGCTACAGTTTTCACATTCTTTACATGAGTTCATCTCTAATCCAATTCATCTTTCAGATTGGTTTGCTCTTTTCTGGTTGTTCATTTAATTCAGAACAGATATTGACCGTTATTATCTTGACACTTCTTTAATGTCCATTTCAGTTTCGGTCGTCGCTTCCCCGAAAACCCTTTCAACTTCAATCTCGTCTTACAATCGTTTCCTCTTCAGTAACTACGAATATTTTGGTTAATAGAAGCTCCTTTGGATCAACTTTCTGATCAATACGATAAACTTTAATTGCTTGATAACAAATCGAGTATAAAATATAACACCAAGAGGAGATTCAGCTATGGAAACTGTTAGAGCTCATTGGGAGGCTAATTAGTCTTCTTAATTGATAAAGATGTAATTGTAACTCTTGAACAATCAGAACGAAATAAATTACGATCATCGATATCGATGGACAATTTTACCCAGAAGGCAAAAGGCTTGTTCTTCAGGTAAATGAATGAGTCTTAGTTAATAAATTTATTGGTTTAAATTTGATTTGGTGTCTAGAATACAGAATGATTACTTAGTTAATACATTAATTAAACAATAAAGTTTTAGATAAATTGTTAACAATAACAGAATAGTTAATAGGTTTTTAGAGATCGGGTTATTTAAATTCATATGGTGATTCATTGGACTTGGAATTTAAATTATAAGATGATTCGATAATTAATGTTAATTTAGTGTGAATTATGATTAAGCACTATTTTCGATACAAACGTTATTGTTAATTCTCATCTGATTATCCTCACAAATTTTTGATGTTGGAATAATTTTAGCAACTTCTTCCTTTAATCGTTCAATATCACGTTGAAGTGATTGATTTCTTTTCATTAGATCAGCAGTTTTAAGTGTAACCTCGATAAGATCACTTTTATTAAGAAAATCCCAGGTCTCTTTATATCGATTGCGACGAAAATCAGCTGATAAATGATTATGAACATCCTGAGAATCAGAATTTTTCTTAGAATAGAGATTAGAAGTTGAATAACCATTAACAAAATCAGATATATTCATGATCGCCTCATCATGATTACTGATTGTTGGTACAGTTTCTTTATTGTAAGATTGTGAGGTTATTGTTTTTTCAGTTGATGTGATTGTTTCATTGTTTAAACTAATAACATTTATCATGGGTAATGTTTTGTCAACTGTAGATGAACAAGAAGATGACGATGAAGCGAAAGATGATATTGAAGAGCAGGACATGGTTGATGATCTGTTAATTGGTTCTTGAATATGATGAGGATTATCAAGTAGAGTAATTGATTCACAGGTTGGTTTATTAATTGTTATCGATTGTATTTCGGATGAAATTGCGTTATCAGATCGACTACGGTCAAATGATGATGATGGTGAGATTGATGGTTTAATATTATAACCATTACGATAATTGTTGAGTCGATGATGATGATGAGGTGACATCGTTGAGAGACTGGTCAGTGTTGGTTTTAGTGAGTTAATTGTTGTTTCCATTGTTGAGCTTTTAGGTGAATGGTTTTCTTGTCCTGAAGAAGAAGAAGAAGAAGATAATGATGATGAGTTACTATGAACTGAGGATGAATAAGGTTTAATTAGATTGGTTGATGAATGAAAAAGACTTTCAGAATTACCATCAAGTGAATTGGTCAATTTACTTTCATTCATATATGAATAAACTGATGAACTAATTGTTCCCGGAGTTGGTGATCTACTATTATTGGACATTTTGTTGACACGATTAACATCAACTGGTGCCATAGGGTGAACATGATGATGATGATGATGATGATTATGATGATTAACAATCTTCCGATTATAATCAATTAACATATATTCTGGTGGTTTATCTTCAATTGTTTTACTATTGAATGTTGTTGTATCAGGATAAACCATAATGCCGGAAGAATCGGTTATTTTAGCTTTTTTAAAAGGAATTAGATGATTAATTGATCGGGTAACCTCCATGATTGGATGATGATGATTAAGTTGATGTTGAAAAGAGATTTTAACTTGGTCACTTAGATATTCATGAGGAGTACTTTTTGATTCTTCATTAAGACCACAATTATCGGTAATTGTTTCGTTGGATAAGTTTAACGATGAAGATGAATTAGCATTTTGATTATTAATCATGTTGGTGTCACAATTATTGTTCAAATTGTGGATGTTGATGGACTCAGAGGGAACAACGAGTGTGGGTGAAATTAAATCTCTCGATTCCATGGAATATGAATTGTCTATTCCCCTGTAATCCGTTTCACAATTTTGGGGCATCTTTGGGTTATCTTTCAGTCTTGGAATTTGAAGATTATGTAAGAGTTATGAAGAAGATGAAGACAATTATGATTGATGATGAATCTGTGCTTGATGAAGATAAGGTGATAAGCAAGAAAGAATAAAGCAGGAAGGAGCAAAAGAAGAAGATAAATGCAACGAATAGAAAAGGTCAGATAAGACCCGATTAATTACGAGGATTAAACGAGACGGAGATTAAGATGGAAAGGTAACCAGATTAATTGTTGATTCGTTATGATTGTAATAGGTTAATATTCACTAAACACAAGGTTAAAGCACAGAATTAGAAAGCAAATTGTTATAATCAAGGCTGGGGAAGGATTAATATCAAGGATCATTTTGGTTATTTGCTAAATTGTAACTGAATTAAAGTTAATTAAAGAAACAGTGTAAAGTATCCTAACCACAAATCACTGTTTTCTGATTCCTAATTGTTTCATTAGATATGTTAATTATCCATAGGAGATTGGAAATTGAAGTAGAAAAGAAATGGAATTAGTTTAGAGATGAATGTTTGGAGAATAAGCTGATTAGAAAGGGGGAATTCCATGTAAATTTGATAACAATAAAACTCTGAATTTCGGATGAACACTTCCGAATTAGTTGGCTATTGATGGAAAAGAGCTGAAGAGGTCAGAGGTCGGGTATTGGTGGATATTGAAAAGGGAAAGAATAACCAATAGTAGCATTAGGCTAGAGAATAATAGATTTTCTGGTTTTCTTGGATGTTTAAGATTCCATGTTGATAGTTTGTTGAAAATGATGAAAATCAAAGTGTTGACGATTATGTAAAGTAGATTAAAGGTTGTTAGTGATCGGGCACAAGATGTCTCATGATGTTGGGTCTGTGGATGGATTAAGAAATGAAGAAATGTTAATAAGTTGAATAGTTGACAAAAACTCATCTTTTTGGCTGGAGAAAAATAGATTAGAGGAAAAAGAGAGATAGAGAAAGAGAAAGGAGAAAATGTTAATTGTTGATCCTTTGTCCTTGTCAAGTTGATTAAAGATGAATTTTTTGAGGTGAAACTGTGATGAGTTGGAGGAGACAATTGATGATGGTGACTACCGATGATTGATGAAAATATATCTTCGTTGATAATTAACAATAACAATAAATGTCTAATTATGTAAGAGAGAGAAAGAGAGAGATTGAAAGAGATAAACTTAAAGGCTGTCATTTAAATGGGAGGGAAAAAAAGGTAAATGGAGAGAAATTGAACAATTTGGGAGAAAAAAAAATGTCTTAATTAGTAATTTATAGGAACTAAATAGTTGAAGAGAGATTAAGATTAACGGTCATAATAATACAACTGTAAGATTATTCATGCTTTCCGTTGGCTTGACTGGAGTTGAATTTGAATTAGATAATAACTAATCCAATCTTTTTGATTTCCTTAATCACACAAGTTTTGCTCTGGTAGCTGAGAAAAATAGACTGGAAAATAAAAACAATATAGAAGAGAAAAAAAAAATTAAAAATAAAAAGTGAACTTGATGATCTGTTTGGGAGAGCGAGTGAAAAATATATTGAAATTTGTCTAATTTTAAACAAGATTTACCTGTTGAGAGAAATTAATTGATCCAATTGGTCACATGAATTAGTAATTATTCATTAAAATGGTTAATTAACAGGTTAATTATGGTGGTAATTGTTGGTTGTTGGAACAAAGAAATTCAAAATGGTCAAACACTAAATGGTCACTTAATATTTACCAAAAGAAAAGGGTTTAAACAATTGGTGGCTTTGATTTCCTCATTTTTGATGAGATAAAGATGATTTTTGGTTGATTGTTGATGGTAAATTTAAGTTAATTGTTTACATTTTCAGATTAATGAAAAATAATTACAATCAATTAATCTGTAAACCATTTTAGTTTAGGTTTAACTGTTAATTAAAAATTGAGCTGATTGGAGTTTGGGATCAGGTGGAAAATAGAAATTCAGAAATAGACAGAGAAAGAAGGGAAATTAAGGAAAAAAATTTTCTTTTCTCTTGAAGTTTAAGATTAACTTGTGTTCAGTTTTCTTATTAATTATAAACAATTAACTAGTCATTCTTGATTTTTTTTGTGTAACTAATTGTTATTAGCAATTTTCGCCAATATTAAGTGATTACTAAAGTTGATTTTCTACAATTGGAACAATTAATTTAAATAAACGATGGACAATTAATTGTGTTTCTATATTTCATGTTAGTGATTTTTGCCTTTTGTTGTCTTTGTATTGATTGTTTTCTTTTTTTAAATTTTCTATTCTTTTTAATTAATTTCACTTATTTTTGATTAATTGTTAATCATTTGTTCTGTTATTTGGATTACCGACCGGTAACAATTTATGATTTAGTTGCTTATTTTGATTCAAATTTTGGCTTTTTCTTTACCTGTTTCTCTCTATTTGTATGTTGGTGTTTTCCTAAGCTGAATTGTTTAACAAGTGGTTTTTACAATTAATTAATTGGTGATAAATCTTGTGTATCTTACTTATGATTAACTCTTAATTTGTTGACTTCGTTCTTAATGGTAAACTCTTCCTTTGGTATAGAATTGGAGCCAATGATTAATATGGAGAACCTGTTGATTTGGTCAAGATTAATGGATCAATTTCTACACTTTTGTTTTATCGCAAACGGTGACAATCGGTGATGGAAAAATTACCTTTGAAACTGGAGAAACTTTGAGCTCGTGGTTATATTTGAACGCTTTCACTTTGCTGCTATTTAAATAGAGAGATAATTTGATGAAACTTTTATTGAAATTCCAAATTGAACTTTGATGATTCTCTGTTGAAACTTTACTTCACAATGGTAACAATGAACAATTTACAAAGAGACTATACCTTTGGATATGGATTAGAATCAGTGGGTGTCCATTATCAAATACTCTAAATACTCTATTCTCTAAATCTCCAGGATAAACTTTGTCAGAAATTACAGAACTTCTTGAATAAGAGTCTTATTATATTTCAACGCTCTCTCCCCCTCTCACTCACTCACTCCCTTGCTCACTCTAAAAGGTGATCTACTATTAGTAATTTCAATTCTTTTCTGATTCTCCTACAGGTTTGAAAGAAACACGTACAATGTCAATTTGATGGCTTAAAAGGCAACACGATACAAGGATAAGGATGTGACAAAAATAATTCACTTTAATTCTGAGCAAACGCTGAAAAAGTTAATCCAAAAGCTAGAAAAAAGTTACATTCACCTAGATGGATTTACCAAAGATCGAATCTTTTGTTCCAATCAAGCTGATCGAGGATTGGAATCGATTAAAAGCCGTCGCTGGATTATTTTGTAATCCCCTTAAATTAGGGTCGCGAAAAGAGAGTAAAGAAAGAGAAGATATCTTGAGCTAGGAAATGGTTCCATTGGTCATTATAATACTCGAAGAAGAAAAAAAGAGAGAGAGAGAGAGAGAGAGAGAGAGAGAGAGAGAATAAAAGTGAGAGAGCATTGGGAGTGAAACTCCATAAAGACACATTGATAAAGTCCATTTGGAAGGTTGGTCTTGAAAGAAGGTCACATGAAGACAACCAACAGTTAAAGATGCGATTGAAACAACGTGACACTTTTCATTCCCATTTAATGAAATTGTCACGTTACAGTAAATTGTGATCATATTTACATTCATATACTTGACCCACTACATATCATTAGAGGATGAAGAAAAGTCAATAATCATCATAAATCCTCTAATTATAACTGGATCAGTGTAATTCTGTGTAATTAGTTTTCATTTTTTCTCTCAATTGATACAAAAAATATTACGACTTTCTATTAATAATAAAATCTTCCTCTTCTCTCTGTAGGTTTATAGCGTAACAGATTAAGTGGATTACAAAGACATTGAAGAAAATGAAGAAATAACAATTTTCCTCTTGACCATCGACCATCAAATTGAACCGATGATTAGCCAATTGTAAACATACGTCCATTCGAATGTGATTGTTTTCTAATTCGATTCATATAACATGTTCAGTCGCATGTTCTGGTTGGGTGACCCATCAACAGGTTTAAACCTTAAGTTTGTTAATTGCTCGATTTGTATACATTTATTAACTCTCTCTCTCTCCTTCTCATCCAGGTAACCTTATATATTGAAGATATTTATTCAATAACTAAGTAAACAACTGACCACATTGATTGATCACCTTTTCCAACATTACTCATGACATTAGCTACATGCTTTTATTTAGCAAAGGAAAATCAATAAGAGTTATTCAATCTACTTAATAATCACCACAAGGAATATAATCATTGCATAATAATTTAATCGGTTAATTGTTTTAATTCAACGAACAATTTTGTATGAGTTGAATTTCAATTACAAAGTAAAAATGGTAAGATTCTTATTCTGTATTCACAACAGATGAACAATTAACAGTTTACCTTTGTAATATTTTTCTTTTATTATTTCAGTTTAATCATTTTTCTCTAAATTGTTAACATAGATAATTTATTGTATTGGAATTCATGGAGATCAATGAACTGTGGTTATAAATTTCCAAGTTTTCGTTGGACGAATAAATTTATCATATCGAAAGCAACTTTGGGCTGATCGGTCGGGACCATATGACCAGCATTACGAATCACAGCATAGTGGAAATTTTGATAAGAAGTAACGAAACCTTGGACTTGGGATGGATCACTTTTAGATCGCCAAATTTTTCTTTCAGCTTGACTGAAACCATGAGAACCTTTCCAACGAAGGGTTTGAAGGAGAGTCTCAGTACAAGAAGCACCGACAACAATGTCAAGAGCTCCAGAATAGAGTAAAATCTCATAATCAGCGTCGGCAAGAATTTCCAACCAAGAAGAAACCGATTGACAGAAATCATTGATAAGATGTTCGTACACTTGCTGACCAATGGTAATTGTTTGATTACCGACATGAATTGCTTCCTTTATCTCATCGGAAGATACATAACTTATCCAGCGAGTTGTTTCAATTGGGCTACTTGTTAACAGGAAGTTGTAGTAATTACTGATACCTGATGAATTGGCAAGAAGGGAAACAACTCGATCACCGAACACCAATTGATCAAAAGAGTTGAAACAATCAGCCCAACGTTCCTCATCGGCTGCCTGACGAATTTGAGCTTCAAGAGCTAATCCTGCTTCACGTTGTCGATAATTAAATAGACCAACTTGATAAAGAAGATCAGAGTAACGGAACATGAGAGCCCCGGAAACAAGACCATTACCAATGGCGATACCCTTAAGATTAATTCCAGACGATTCTCTCTCTTGATGTAATTTATAACCAATGGCGGGAATATATTTACCAGCATAAGATTCACCAGTGATGTAAAAATCATTGGATTTCCATTCGGGGAATAGACGGAAAAACTGTGAAAGAGCACTGTAAAGGTCACGACCTACTTCAACTTGATTCTTTACATAACCAGCTTCCTTTTCCGTGAATGAAAATCCCGTACCAGCGGGTTGATCAATGTAAAGATAGGCAAACAAATCGGTCCAAGGATATTCACGAAGAGTTAACGTTAAATTTGATTGTACTTTGTAAGGACCGTTTTCATTGAAAAGAGCATAAGTAGACGGAGATCCAGGTCCACCTTGTAACCAAAGGCCAACAGGAGCTGAGGTATTCTATGGAAACCGAAGAATGTTAATTGTTCTCAATTCTAAAAGAAGATTAATCAGTTTACTTACCACGGAGGGAAAGAACCAGAAGAAAAGATTTGATCCATTTTCTTCATTAACAGTTAAATAGCCTGAGTAACTTTCCACCGGTGGGGCATTCGGAAGATTGACTCTAGCGCGAGAACGAGCCTCGTCAATTTGGCCTGATTGGATTAATGGTGACAATAAGAGTTGACAATTAACACGATTATCTGGTAGAAAGGCGAAAATAATTAAGGTGAATAAACAATTTGTTAACCATCGTAACATTTTCAGAAAAGTTAAAGAAATCAAGTTGAAACGATTGAAAGAAATAATCTAAATACCAACGATTAAGAAGTTCTCATTCATTTAAGTGATTATTTTCTTTCTCTCTTACAAATCATCCTTATTTTTCACTTTAATCGTCAACAATTAACTCAGAAATTATTAATTATTAAGAGATAAGAACTACTTTACTTTAATTAACGCCCAACGTTGGAACCAAGAATTTATTTTGTAACCAAGGTAAACTCATTTTCTAACCAATTGACTGATCCATAAATTGACTCAAATCAAGTGCATCATTAATTTAATTTCATTCAATTGTTAAGATGAGAATAGTTTTTGATACAATTCCAAGATAATTGAATTTCTATTGTTTTAATTGATTTGAGTAATAGTTATTTAAAGATTAGATTTACCGTTGATTATTTTTACATAAACAAGGAAATTGTTATTATCGTTTAGAATCATTTAATTATAAACATTAAGTTTTCATTTGATGATTACAAAATTAAAGGTTAATTATTTAACTATTTACATGTAAATGCATAGTGAATGATGAAAGTTGGTTAACAAAAAATTAGTTTGATTGACAAAAAGTAAATTGTTACATGAACAAAAGACCAGTAATTAAAGAGATTAGGAGGATTAGTTAATTGTCTAGTAAACTTGTGATTAGATTATGATATTGAGTTAATCAACAATGGAATTAATTTCTATTGTTATTATAACAACTTCAAAAAAAGTTGAATGAATCAAGAAAAATAAAACTATCGATAGTGATTACAATTTGATTCAAGAATCGAAACCAATTTCATGGAAATTAATGTGAACCATAATCGATCACAATTAAATGGTTAAAATTTAATCAAATGACTGTATCAGTAAACCAGCGATAAACAGTTTGATAAATGTTATTAAGCTTGATTACTGATTAATCCAGTTTGACTCGATCTAAACGATTATCGAAATAATCATTCACTTGATAATTTAAACGCTTTTTTTTTGTTCCTCATCTTTGTGACTAGAGAATATAATTGATACAAATTTTTTTCTTCTTTTGATTGTTGTTTGTTTTTTTTTGTGTTAATTGGAATACTAATCAACTAATTGTTCAACCAACAGTGATGAGTGAATTAAAAGAAGTTTGGAATTTTAAATCACATGAAGGTTACCAGAAAGCCTATCAACACCATAGTAAATACTTGAAAGCGGATCACGAATTTTCAATTTATCTGCCACCGGCGGCGGTGAGAGGTCAACGATGTCCAGTAGTTTATTGGTTAACTGGAGCTGCTGCTGATGATCGGGAGTTTATGTTGAAATCAGGATTCCAAAAATACGCTTCGGAAAATGAGCTCATCGTTGTTGCACCCGAACCAAGGCCACTTCCTTTGAACGATATGCCAAAGGAAATTTCTTCCAAGTATTTTGTTCAATTTGGATTTTATATGGACTCAACTGCTCCTCCATATGATGAACACTTTAAAATGTACTCATACATCCTCGATGAACTTTTACCTTTGGTTGAATTTAAGTTTCCAGTGTTACAAGATAAACGGGGAATCGCTGGACACAGTATGGGTGGTATGGGTGCGTTGAATTTTGGTCTTCGTAATCCCGACATATTTGGATCCATTTCAGTTTTTTCGGGTATTTGTAATCCGAGTGGGATGAAAATTGGACAGGAATTGTTGGAAATGTACTTTGGCAATGAAGGTAAAGATGGAGCAATCAAATTGTACGATCCGTGCGTTTTAGCAGCAAATTACAAAGGTCCTCATCGACAGATTCTGTTTGATCATGTAAGTTTTTTTTCCGTTGTTAATTATCATGATTAACTCTTTTTTTTGCGTTTTACTTTAAGGGTGGAAATGATGAACTTGATGCACTTGTAATGGCCCCAGAATTTTTATCAGCCGTCATGTATAAAGATTTGTCGGTCAATTTCCGTCTCCATGCTGGTTATTCCCATGGAATTGAGATAATTTCATCTTTCATTGAAGATCATATTCTTCACCATAAAAAGGAATTAAATTGGAATCCTTGAAAAAAGAGAAGGTGGGAACATGGAATATAAAATAATCAAGGTTAACCAGATTTGTTTCCAAGCGTTTAAATCAAACAATAAATTGTAATGATTGAATCAATTCCCTTGAAAACATCACTAAGTTTTTTATGATCAAACAATCACTCAGATAAGAGTATTAGTATGGACTTTGAACTATAGATTAGCATCGAGTAGGTCAACTGTTCGAGCATTTTAGATTGAGAATCAAGTTGATCTTTGATTAGTTCAAGATCAATTTAATGGGGGTGAAAACATTGCCGGAGGATTAACATTGGATCTACGGTAAGAGTCTGATGTTGGTATTGGTGTTTTATCAGAAGCTGGACATTCAAAGTGGACACAGTGAAACACTTCGTTAGCTGTATTATAAGTTCCCGTTATCCTTATGTAAACCACTGGACGTCGAGAAAAGTTAATCATTTGCCAAGATTTACAAAGGACATCACGACGATCGGCGACCATTTGCCAAGTATGATAATCAATGGAAACTTCAATATAATAACTATATGATCGAGCGTCAATATCCCATAGAAGGAGTTTCATTGAATCAACAACATAAGGTTGAGCCAATTGAATTACAATTGAACCACTGCCAATTTGATGGCAAGTATAACCTGTTTCCCAATCGTATTCATTATATTTGCCATTAATTAAAGCATTTCGAGATCGGCTCACACCTTCAATGACCAAAGCTGAGTTTTCAATTGTCGCTACATTTGAATTGGGAATGACGATTCCATTAGGATCTAAAAGATAAGGCCGATGGGTGAACATACATTCAAATGAGACAAGAAGGAAAAATCGATTAACGGTACTTTGGGTTCCACGAATGCGAATATACTTTACAACTCTTGGCTCAAAGTAGACACGTTGCCAGGATCGACATGAATAATTTGTATGATCAACAACTCGAGCCCAATCAACACGATCCATTGACACTTCAATGTAATAAGAATAGGCTCTTAGCTCCTTATCCCAAAGTAACATTTTAATATGATTGATAATACACTGAACTCCAAGTTCAATTAGAATTCCTTGATCAGCTGAATCATCGATGAGATGACGGGTGAATCCTCTCTCAGCATCATAATTTAAATTATCTCCATCTAAAAGTCCTTGTTTATTTTCACCGGTCACTTCACCGATCAACACTTTAGCCTTTAATTTGGGTTGAGCAACATTTTCCTCTGGCCTAAGGAAACCTCGATAATTAAGATCAGTATTACGAGATAATTGGTGTTGTTGTATCGCATCTAAAATGGCATCAGCAGAGACAAGACCAGAAGGTCGGACAATTGTCAACAGATCGTTTAAATTGATGAGCGATAAACGAATACATGAAATAATTTCTTCCATGGGTAGATCGGTATTAGCCTCAAACCAGGCCTTAATTGCTTTGAATATGATTATTTCATCGGCACAGAAAGAGTCTCGAGAAATAATTGCTCGAACTGTTGTCGAGGATAAAGAGAGAAAGGTTTCATTTTGAATGATTGGGAGAGCATGTTGATCGATAAAATTGGAGCAAACTTCAGCTAATGAGGTGAGGCCATAAAGTACCGAAGCTTCATAAAAGAGACAAGCGTTTTTAACATTCAAAACGGCTTCCATAAATTTAGCGATTGAATCTTGAAGTAAAATGAAACCATAGCGATTTGTAAGTCCAAGAAGCTCAAGTAGCCCATCTTCACGGAAACAGGTAAGAGACATTCGACCACAGTAAATGTATCTAAGAAGGTGTTTAAATGCCGTTAATGATGTTGATTTGAGTTCAATCACTTTCTCTTGACTTTCCTTCATTCCTCCATATAACATGGCACGAAAATAATCACTTCTAGAGGCGAGGATAACTTTATGAGCAGGAATCGATTCTCCTTCAACAACCAAGGTAATATCAGAATATTCATCATTCATACAAAGATGTCCCATGTTATCAGCTAGACAGGTAATATGATTAATCTCACCAACAGATGATATGGAAGAGGATGAAGAAGCTGTTGAGGTTGTTGGTTGAAGCAAGGATGAAGATTCCGAGGAAGATGATGTTGAAGGAGGTAAATCATGTTGATCACTCATGATGTTCAGGAATCAGGGTAAACAATGAGAAACAGGCAAAGGTTCAGATTAAGATGAGCAAAATGTAATCACATTAGTTGGAAAATAAAATCACCAGCACGTATTATTATAGTTTCTCAATGAATAATAATCAACCACCACCAGAGTAAAAAAAAAACAAAACCCAAAACTGGAAAGCGAAAACCTAAAAATCCAAGAAAGAAAATAAAATGGAAGATTTTGTTTCTCTCTCTCTCTTGATATTGAGTTTATATCCAAAATTGACCAATTAACCAATTAACCAGTTAACCAGAATGAGGGAGAGTCAATGATTAACCACTTTTCTTATTGATTAACCATCAAGAATTGCGAACATCAAATTACAGGTATCAAGAAGATGAAGAGAAAGTGAGAATGGAAAACCTGAAAGAGAAAAACAAAACAGAAAAAAAGACATAGCAACCAAACGTTATTTTCTCTCAAATCAGGTAAAAAAAGAAGGCGAAACCAGTTAATTAACTGTATTCTTGAAAAAATTAACAATTTAAATCAAATTAAAGAAAAAAAGACAGTTAATTAAATCAAAACAATCTAATTACGATCATAAGAGTTACAGAGAAAAGAACAGGAAAAGTAAACATATGAGAGAGACTTTTGAGTTTAGCCAATAGAAATTGAGAGAAAATAAGAAAGAGAAAAATTGATCTTTCTAAATTGTCTTTCGCATTTGTAATCATTACAATTAAAGAGTAGTAGTGATTAGTAAATTAAAAGATTCTAAAGAAAATCAATCATTTTGATTGAGATAATTTTCCTTTGTTTTGAAAGTGTCATTTCAATGGAATCGATTCAATTTATTATCGATTAATCATCGAGAAGAATCAACATCGACAATTAGTTTTAATTGTAATTGGAATTTACAATTGACATATGATAATAATTGTTAATTGCTAGAAATCAAATAGCGAGTTAATTGTGATGAAATTTAGTTGATTTTCTGTTGAAGGAAAATTTGAACAATTTAAATTGAGAAGAAAAAAAGTTGAAAGTTAATTGAATAACAATCAAGTTTAGAAGATTAAATTTTAACCTAATTAATTAATAATAATAAGCTACAAGTAACTGATTAATGGTTATTTTATTTTTAAATTAATTTTCAAGCCTTAAATCTAATCATAAACATGTAACAATTTAGTTAAACACGAAACTAATCAAGAAAACAAGGTTAAGTATGAAAATAACAATTTAATGATGAAGATAATCAAAAGTGATTAATATTTATTCAGAATAGTAAATAAATGAATGAGAGTGAAAATTAATTGACAATTTGATATTATTGATTTACAACAATTAAATTATTACCACAATTAATAGGGTTGAATGAGCAACAACAGCTAAATAAACTAAATTGGTTACAACCTGTTACCAATTTAGTTAATTACCTCATTTAAGTAAGTAAATTGCATTTTCAGAGGTTTAATTGTGATTTAGGAAAACCACGGAATTTAATTTCTCTAACAATTAGTGACACCTTTTAATTGTGAAATAGTTTTAAAGTTAATCTAGTGTCGTGATTTAGTTTGGATAATGAATCAATTGATTAGAATTGATTTACCAATTGAACAATCAACAACAACAACAACAACAGAATCAACAATCAATCAATGGATAAACTTAATTGTTTAACTTTACTATTTGTGATTATCATTGGACTGTCGTTGTTTCAACCATCAGATCAATACCTTTGTCCGCCGCTTTACCCGCCGGCTTATGGTTATTTCATCCGCTCTTGTGGTAACACCATCGGCGATAATTGTAACATTGATTGTGAGATCGGTTTTGATATCGTTGGTCCTTCGTATCGAGTTTGCCGAGCTAACGGAACTTGGTCTGGGTCGGAAACAATTTGTGTTCGACCTTCGATCCAATGTCCAATGTTACGAATCACCTCGATCGGTTTAAGTGTTCAGGGTTGTCAAAATTTCGCCGGTGGAATTTGTTCATTTTCTTGTTCTCCCGGGTTGATGTTAGTCGGTGAGACCCGAATTCATTGTCGAACCGATGGGACTTGGTCTGGGGGTATTCCGACTTGTCGTCGAATCTCTTGTCCAGCTCCGCCTTTACCTCCGGCCCATGGTTCATACAATGGTGGAATTGGTGGATGTCCATCGGCGATCGGTTCTTTTTGTACCTATCAATGTAATTCGGGCTATTCTCTGATGGGTTCACCTCAAATTCAGTGCAACTCTGATGGACAATGGTCTGGACCTGCACCGACTTGTGCTCTTAACTCTGGTACAAGTAATGGCCGTTTATCCTCAGTTTGTTCACCACTTTATCCTCCTGGAAATGGTTCGATCGCGGGTAATTGTGGTCCAACTGTTTCCATCGATGATACTTGTCGATTTACTTGTCATTCTAATTTTCTTTTAAGTGGTTCGTCAATTGTCACTTGCCAATCGAATGGTCAATGGTCCAGTCAACCTCCACGTTGTATCGACTCTTTCTGTCCCCCTGTTAATCCCTCGCTATCTACTTCAGCCATTTACGCTTCTGGTCAATGTAACCCTGGTCTTCCCGGGTCTTTGTGTAATTTTGCTTGTCCGAAAGGATCCACGTTAGTTGGATCATCACAAATACTCTGCCAATCAGACGGAACTTGGAACACCGCTGTACCTTCATGTCGACGGCCAAGTTGTTCCAATCTTTCCCCTCCAACCAATGGACAATTATCGGGCTCATGTAGTCCTGGAAATTTCGGTGAATCTTGTACATTTTTCTGTAATCCTGGTTACTCTTTAATTGGATCATCCAAATTAACTTGCGAATCAACTGGCCAATGGTCAACTAATCCGCCCTCTTGCATACTCAATGGTTGCCCTGATCTTCAGGTTCCTCTTGGTGGTTTATTCAAACCAGCGACATCCTCAGCATCGATAAACTGTCCCGGTTGTCCAAATAGCTGTTCCGGTCAACCAGGAAATATTTGCACTCTACTTTGTGGTCGAGGCTTCAGGTTACTATCAAAAAATGGCGGATCCACAACAATGTGCAATCCATCAACGATGAGGTGGGAACCCGAACCAGCGACCTGTGTCCGTGAACGATATTTACCTTCATCAGCCACTTCATCACTCTCATCACTATCAACTCAATCATCTAAATCATCAATCACCAAATCAACCAATTTAAAATCACCCTAATTATTTATCTCAAACTCTTTATAATTCTCATCATTTTAAATTAATTGTCTTTTTTTTGGACAATCAATTTTGATAGTTACTTTTTTAAGGTCAATACAAAAACGAAATGTTAATCTCACCCTTCAGAGTGAATAAATTATTATAATCAATTTTATAAGAATAAGAAAATCGTTTAAATTATTACAAATGAATTGAAATCTTAACAAACCAATCAACGAATCAATAAACTTTCGTCGATTGATTCGTGGAATCGAGTTACAATTAGGTCGACAGAATTAAATATCACAATGAAATAACCAATTCGCAACAAGAACTTCGCAAATGGTTTCATCAGTTTTCTTTTCCTTTAGAAATTTAATTATCATCTTAATTGTAGATTAGACTAAATTATTTACATTCGAGCTAAATCGCTCGAAAGCTTAAGCTGTTTACCTTGAGGGTTGGAATCGCCTGGTAACCGGCTGATACTGACTGACCTCCGTGTGAATAGTGAGAAACTCATTAGTCTTTGTTTCAGTATATAAAGTTGACCTTCACACGTGAGTTCTTGGTGTTGTACTTGGATCAAAATGGGGACAACTTTACATTCAAATGAGCTGATTTTGGTTATTTTCATGGTACTTTTTGGACTTGTGGTTATTTGTATCAAAGTTTTCAGAAGTCCGAGAGTTTCAATTAGTGTCGGTCGTGATTTCATCTCGGACTTTGCATCTACAGAGAATGATAGAGATCGTGATGACATCGCTGTCCAATCATCTCCAAGAGAAAGGCCAACGAGAACTGTGTTCACTCAGACTTTGAAACAAAAGCGCTGGGAGAGGGTTTGTTTCAGCGAACCAGAAACTCGACCGGAAAGGCCACCATTTATAACTTTTACAACTTCCGGCAGGATTCAGAGCATCTATTGATTCTTGATGTATTACTATTGATACTTATAATGATTGAGATGATCATCAATCTTTGAATTGAGTTATCAATAAATTTACTTGTTTTTGTGATTAGAAACAATTTAACAATCAACTTATATCTTAATGATATATTGATAATTTGTTTAATACATTGTAGAATTATAATAACTAATTACAGTGGCAAAGAGAGAGAGAGAGAGAGAGAGAAGGGAAAATGTAACGATTTAAATTGTTAACAGTTTGTTTTCTGTTGATCAACAGCTAATCGGAAAGGGAATTATCTGGATTACTTAATTTACTTAATTTAGTTTATCACTGATTGAGATGGTTGAATTATTGTTAGATTCTTGGCAACAGAGATAAAAGAAACAATTCTTTGACTTTGATGGTGGGAAGTGTTATGAGAGAGGAGAGAGATTGATTGTTTTGATTAGAATTTGAAGATGATCAACTTTTCAACACTTGAATTTTAGAACCAAATAGCCAATGGTCAGTGTATATCTTTCAAGTTCACAAACAAAAGTTTCGTGTATTGAGAAGTTGATTAGAGGGTAATTTTATTGGATTAGATTAATTTTTTCCTTTTGCTTGAAGTTCTTTCATTAGATTAAGAGCACTTCCCGCTCGGAACCAAGCGATTTGACCTTCGTTCATTGTATGGTTCAAATGGATTTCCTCTTTCTTTCCATCTTTATGGGTAATGTGACATTTCACAGGCTAAATTAGAAAAAAAAATCATTGATTAATCATTTGATTAACAAAGAAAATATCAAAGCAATTAAATTGCAATCACCTTTCCAGGAGCTAAGTTTTTCAAGTCAATAATGGAAATCTTATCATCAGGGTGAATTTTATCGTAATCACTTGGATTAGCAAAGGTCAAGGGAAGCATTCCTTGCTTTTTCAGATTGGTTTCTGTAAATATCAATAAAATACCATGTTAATTACTCAAATGTTCAACTCGTGATATTAATTAAACAATTTACCGTGAATTCGAGCAAAGCTTTTAACGATAATCGCTCTACCACCGAGGTGTCTTGGTTCCAAAGCAGCGTGTTCCCTGCTACTTCCTTCACCATAGTTTTCTTCACCAATGGCTACCCAGTTGACACCTTTAGCTTTGTATTGTCGAGCGACTTCAGGAACCGCTCCCCAGGCTCCGGTTAATTTATTTTGCACCTTATTTGCTTCACCGTTTTCAGAATTGGTGGCACTAATTAAGAAAGATTTCGTTCGATTAGTCTATTGTATTGTATGTGAATGCGATCAGATGGAAATCTACTTACGCGATGAACATGTTGTTAGAAATGTTGTCAAGATGACCTCGATATTTGAGCCATGGTCCAGCTGCACTGATGTGATCGGTTGTACATTTACCCTTGATTTTAATTAGAATGGGTAATTCGGTCAAATCTTTTCCATCCCATTTGTCGAATGGAGTTAGAAGTTGAAGACGATCACTTTTAGGGTCAACATCTACACGAACTTTTGAAGAATCAGATGGAGGTGGTTGGAAAGTATCTTCGCCAGGGTCGAAACCTCGAGCAGGTAATTCTTCACCTTTTGGCTCGGCGAGTTTGAAATCTTTGCCTGAGGCATCTTTAAGAGTGTCAGTCAATGGGTTGAAATCTAGACGACCTGCGATGGCCAAAGCAACAGTAATTTCGGGTGAAGCAACGAAAGAATGGGTTGCTGGGTTAGCATCATTTCGACCGGTAAAGTTACGATTGTAAGATGAGACAATTGTATTCTTTTCTCCTTTTTTGACATCTTTTCGGTCCCATTGTCCAATACATGGACCACAAGCATTTGCCAAAACAACGGCTCCAAAATCTCGGAAAATTTTAGCTTGACCATCACGTTCAATTGTTGCTCTGATTTGCTCAGAACCAGGAGTAACAGTGAATAATGATTTAGGCTTGATACCGGCATCGATTGCTTGTTTAGCGAGACTTGCGGCACGGGTCATGTCTTCATAACTACTGTTGGTACATGAACCAATAAGTCCAACTTTAACATCCATAGGCCATCCATGTTTAGCAGCAGTTTCACCCAATTTGGAGATTGGTGTGGCAAGATCAGGAGTATAAGGTCCATTAACATGGGGTTCAAGTTCACTTAGATTGATTTCGATGACTTGATCGTATTCAGCACCTTTATCTGATGATAAAAAGTCTTTGTGTTTGTCGATTTCATCGGCAATATCTTTACGTTCAGTGGCAATCAGATAATCTCTCATTCGACTGTTATAAGGAAAAACGGAAGTGGTAGCACCGATCTCAGCACCCATGTTACAAATGGTACCCATACCAGTACATGAAATAGCATCAACACCAGGACCAAAATATTCAACGATGGCTCCAGTTCCTCCTTTAACTGTTAAAATACCGGCAAGTTTAAGGATAACATCCTTAGGTGAAGTCCATCCACTTGGTTTACCAACTAATCTAACACCGATGACTTTTGGACATTTAAGTTCCCATGGGATTCCAGCCATAACATCAACGGCATCGGCACCTCCAACACCAATACATAGACCACCAAGACCACCTCCGTTAACAGTGTGACTGTCGGTACCGATCAACAAGACTCCGGGAAAAGCATAATTTTCCAAAACAATCTGATCCGAAATAGAAACAAATTAATCTAATTGTTATACAAAATTTTCTCATGATCATTTCAACATAGCAAAAAATTGATTGAATCTCTTTTTTTTTTGCTTTGTTAAAGTGCAGAAAGTGTTGAAGCTTAGCAAAGATTATTGAACTTTCAAGGTGACCAACCTGATGGATTATACCAGATCCTGGTTTCCAGAAACCAACACCGTATTTGGCACCAGCAGTACTTAAGAAATTGTAAACTTCTTTGTTAATATCTTTGGCTCGAGCCAAATCAGCGACACCATCAATTTGAGCTTGAATAAGATGATCACAGTGAATAGTTGAAGGAACAGCGACCTGAGGTAATCCACTGGAGATAAATTGTAACATGGCCATTTGGGCAGTTGCATCTTGCATGGCAACACGATCAGGTCGAAGTTTAAGATAAGATTGACCTCGTTCAATCTCAGAATTAGCAGGATCATCCAAATGACCATAAAGAATTTTCTCCGACAAAGTTAAAGGTCGATTCAATCGACTCTTAACAACACTAACATTAGACTTATATTTGTCAAAAGGAATGTGCTCCTTATCTAATCGACTCATAGCCACCTAAAGAAAGAGAAAATGAAACCAAATAAAACAACAATTAACCAAAATGCCAAATAAACAATTAACAGAAAACAAAAATTAGTAATTAGATTGAAACATACCAAACATTGTGGACTAGAATGTAATTTGGCTATTTGGCTTTTCACCGACAAATAGTCGAGACCCTAAAAAAAGAAAAAAAGAACAATTAGAACATTTAATTGAAACAGTTGAACAATCAACAATTTACTTCGTTTTCTACAATTTAAATTGATTGTTTAAACAGAAAGGAATCTCATTGAGAAGATCAAATGTCCTCTGTAAAGGACTAAATGGAAAAAGCAACTAAGAGCAAAATGTTCACCGAGAAGGTTAATTGATTCTGAGAATCAATTAATTCGACTTACCTTTGTTGAAACGAGTCTTTTGAGGAGAACCATATTTAAAGAATTAAGGTAAATTGAGGAATTAAAATTAAGTTAATCAAGTGAAGACGAATTGATTTATAACCTCTCTCGTATTTATTGAAGAGACAAGAAAACAAGGTTACAGTTTTTCTGCTTCTTCTTCTTAGATAATAAATAAGCAACCATTTTTTTGGCGCTTTTTACAAAGTGATTTGTTTTTTTGTTCTTTTTAGAAAAGAAATGAAAATGGAAAATTTTATAAAGACAATTTGTAAAGTAGAATTGTTTTCTTCTTCTTTTTTTATAAATTGAGGAAACTTTCTTCGGCCATACCATCTAAATCAGATTTACCGGAATCACCTGGATTGGAAATTAATTCAATATCGTTGCCTTCTCCATGATGTTCACCTTTGTCTTCAACGATATAATTGTTGGCAGTTCCTGGATTGACTAACATCTTGATTGTGGACACATAAAGTTCTTGATCAAAATTATCAAACAACGATGAGGGTAATTTTAAAATTTCACCATCCATGTGACCTTTACCTTTTACTTTACCTTCAGCTTCAACCCATGAATCTAATTCCAAAACTCCATCAATTGGTTTGGCAAGATAAACCATAACATTTTGTCCAGAACAATCTTTAACACACACTTTTTTACCCGAAGGTTCAATACTGGCAACTCTACCCAAAAGAATCACCGGTTTAGAGAAATAACCTTGCATCATGTCATTAGTAATTCGTGGACGATAATCAAAAGCCATTCTTGAATCAATTAGTAACAAGTAATAAAAAAGAAACAATAAGAAACAAATCAAAAATCAACAGAAAACGAGGCAAATCAAATGATAACAAAAAAAAAGCGAATTCAATGTTAACACAAATCGATTTGAAAAAAGAATTTGAAAAAATCTTTTTATAGACACACCCGATTTTCTATTCGACAGATGTCGCCACTTTCACTCAGAATTTAAGAGAATCAAATTTTTTTTTTGTCTTTTGATTTTGTTTTTTTTTATGATTAATTTGTTTTCTATTAATTAAATTGGTGAATTGATTGATTTCCATTTATTTAGTGATTTATTTGCAACCATTTGAGTGAATATTTTTGTTCGACTCTTTTTTTTTAAGATCATCATGTCAGAATCTTCGGGAGACAATGTTTTACGTTTGCGAGGTTTACCTTGGCAGGCAACAAGAGAAGATGTTGTCTCGTTCTTCTCAGGTAAATTTTACTAATTACTATTAATTTGGTGCTAATTAACTTACTCTCTCATCTATCTATCGATTGGTAAATGATGATCCCTCGTGTTGGTCTTTTACCTTTCATCTCTTTCTCTCTGTTCTTTGGCTGTCTATATCTCTCCATTTTTTCCGCTCTCTCTTTTTCTCTTTTTTTTCTCTCTCTCATCCCTGACAACACGACTCTTTTTGTTTCCATTTTATTTTTCCATAGAAATATCATCTTTTTTTTCTCCACATTTAATGTATTCTTTTTTTTTTCCTCTTTCTCGATTTCTCTCATGTGCCACCACCTGGTTTTCACTATCCATTCATGTAGATTGTAAGATAAGGAAAGGCGCTAATGGAGTTTTCATGACTCTCTCTGCTCAAGGGAGACCATCAGGTGAAGCTTATGTGGAAATGGAAAGTGAAGATGATGTCACCAAAGGATTGGAGAAACACAAGAAAAATATGGGCAATCGATACATTGAGGTTTTCACCTCTAATCGTAAAGAAATGGACTGGGCTACAAGGCGAACCGGACCAAATAAAACTGACATGGATCCAGCTTTAGATGGATTTGTTAGACTTCGTGGTTTACCTTTTGATTGTAATGAAGATGATGTTCGTCAATTTTTTGAAGGTTTGTTCTCATTTACATAATATTCGATGAAAGAATCAACACATCATTGAAAGAAAAAGCCTTTAATTGTGCTCATAGATTTTCCGTAATAGAGAAACTCAAAGTCAAACATTAATTTCTGCTAACTAAAAGCAAATATTAGATCATTAGTTTTTAATTTACAGACTTTTCTCTTAATATCATTCACATGTATGCACTCAACAAGCTAATCTATTACCATTGCCAAGCTATTGATTCGCTTTACATTTTTCTCTCATTATTATGTTGATAAAAATTTCATGTTTATCCTCTTTCCTGCTATCAACATTATCCTCTCATATTCTAGTGACATAAAAATAAGCTTTTCTTGCAGAGATTCATTTTCCATTGGTTTTGTAAAAACTCTTGACAGTTAAAATTGCAGTTATCATCAGTCTCCAATCTTACCTATATCCTTTCCCATTAGATTTTGATTATCTCTATTTCCCCCCCGAGGGTCGTTTTCTAATTGATGTCTAAAAATTTCCATTGTCACTACTAATTAGGTCAACCAATGGATAAATTGAATATTTCCTTAACTTTTTCTTTCTATCATTTGATTATCAAAAGGGTTATCCGTAGTTCGAGATGGAATTGTTTTGCCGATTGACCATCAGGGCAGATCATCTGGGGAGGCCTATATACAGTTCACTACACGGGAGATTGCCGATAAAGCTATGGGTAAACACAAGGAAAAAATTGGGCACAGGTTAGGCACCATTTCCTCTCTCTCTCTCTCACTCTCTGACGAACCTTTTGTTTTCATTTCCCCTGCTTGTTACCCGAAGTTTCAAGTAGAGGAAGACCTTTTTGTTGGAATCAATTTTAAACCTCATTATCTACCAATTCTTGTTAATTTGCATATGATTTTTACATCATATGACATTGTTTTAAACTGTGGCTTCCCTTTGCTTTTGCTAGAGAACAATATAAGTGATTCTCCCCTTGTATTCAAGGAAGAAATTTTCATCTTTCTATTCTTATTTTTAGTTAATGGTATTTTTCTTTATATTATTTATTGATTTTATTATTACAGATACATTGAAATTTTCAAAAGCTCTGCACATGAATTTTTAGCCATTCGTAATCAACAGCAAGGATACATGGACCGATCACACGGTGGATCTAGAATTGGTGGTGGGTATGGTTCCTCTGATACTAACTATAGGTCTTTTGACTCTCCTTATCCACCATCAAAAAGGAATTATTACCCTCCGAGTAACCGCTCTACACCTTATGATCGAAATTATAATAAACGTTATCAATCAGGAGGAGGAAACTGGGGAAGCGGTTCATCAAGACCACCTCTCTCTCAACTGGGTTTCAGAAGACCATATTATGCCCCTGCGATAATGGACGATTCTGACAGAGGTTGGTTCTCTTGTTTGTTCCGCTTCATCCAAACCTTTCTACTGGTCAAAACATTATTATTATTTTTTTTTACTGTTTTCCATTATTTTTACTTTACTAACATGCTCCTCAAACAAAATCATTAATTTAAGAACTTAATTTTATCGATTATCCAAATCCTCCTAAATTTATCTTCAAATATTTAATTTTTGATCTCTCTCTCTCTCTCTCTCTCTCTCTCTCTCTCTCTCTCTCTGATAACTTTACCATTTTTCCATTCTAGAGATATACAGAGAAAAAATCACCCGACATGATCCGGATTTAGATAGTTCATATTGGGACAAATATAATATGATCCACATGCGAGGATTACCTTATAAAGCAACGGAAGAAGATATAGAGAAGTTTTTCTCACCCTATGTGCCAATATCCATCGGAATTTTATTCGATAATCTTGGAAGACCTTCAGGAGAAGCTGATGTTGAGTTTGCTACTCATGAAGAAGCAAACATGGCCATGAGTAAAAATAAATCCAACATGGGTATGTAATCTTTTTTTTCATGGGTTATCAAAAAAAAAGGTTCTAATCTCTTTTCTTTTTTTTCTCTGATAGAATTAAGATACATTGAATTGTTCCTCCGATCTCGTTCTGAGTCAGATCAAGGTGATATACCAGATCATCCAACTACATCTACTCAACGGTATTCAACTCACCAAGGCCATCATCAGCCATCATATGGCTCTAATAATTATTCTCGAGAAGGAGGAGGAAGAGGAGGAAGAGGATATAATTCTGGGCCCAGAGGAAACCATCAGATGGGAATGAGAAATTTCCTATCAGAGAGAACTAAATAACTTTTTTTTGCCACCTAAGCAACATCATCCATATTAAAACATGATTAATCTTCAATTGAATTAATCAACAAACTGATGATAACATAAACTCTTCTCCCAACTCTCTCTCTCTCTCCCTCTCCTGAGTGTTTAAAACCCTCGGAAATGATTAACAACTAAAAAAGTTAATACACAAGTTTAACAAAAAAGCAAATACCATGGAAAAGAGATGAAAAGAAAAGACTGAAAATTGAGCAACAATTAACTGATTACTCTAAATTAAGAAATGCCAAGAAAATGATCATTCCTCCTTCATTTGGAGTTCGTTTCCTACATATCCCAAATGGATTTTGACAAAAACAAATTAACAATTTTGTTTCAATTAATTAGATTAATTGTCAAAAAAAAACTTCATCTTTTATGGCCAAAACAACTTAACAACTAAATCTAATTCTTTCTCCCTCTTTAATCCACAATTTACTTTCTCTCTCCCTTCTCATCCATTTGTACAAGATCTCCCTCTTTCTAAAAATATTTAAATTCTGATTCTGATCAGATCTTGTCTTTTCATCTTCTTTTGCATGAGAAATCATTCATTAGAAACTCACCTAATGTTTTTTTGTAATTGAGATTGGAATACATAATAACAATGATAACATTATTACCTAAATTAAGTTTTTAAATCAATTAATCTAAACCCAACAATTAGCTCTCCAAATTGAAAAATCAAATTAGAAAACAAAACAAAAATTCGATCGAAATTAAAAGAAACAATTAATCGTTTTCGAAATGATCAAGACTGGAAATCAATTACAACAATTAGTTGATTTGTTGACAGACAATTCAAATATCATCTGATTGCAAATGTGAATTATATTGGAAAAGGGAAAAACTGTTTCTAATTAGTTGATTGTCGTAAAATTAACATTTCTCAAGGTAAATTCTTTGATTATAATTGAACAATTAAAACGCAGAAAAGTTGAACAATTAAAAGAGTTTATCAATAGAGAAGAAGATTTTTGTTACAATTAGTAGTATTTTTGATTAAATTGAACAATTAAAAAGCCTACACAACTGTCACATGAACTTTTAATTTAACTTTTGATTAAATTTGGATTAAATTGTTAACAATAAACAATCAATCAATTGTCACTTTTATTTTCAATCAAGTATCAAATGTTTGTCTTTTTTTGTTACTTTGCTAAATTAATTGTCTTCTAATCAACAATTAGAATGGATTCTAATTTAAATACTTCGACAGGTCTAAGAATAATCAAAAAGAAAACGAAACAATTAAAACTAATGACGAAACTAACGTTTTCTTACTTTCACTCAATTCAATTGATAACAATTAAAATTGGAGTCAAATTACACAGAATTAGAGTTGATTAGTCGATTGAGAACATTAATTAATATCCTTGAATGATTAATTTTCTCATTTTAAATTGTTAATCTGTAAAATAATCAAATTGGATTAACATTATCTCCGCATCTTCAAACGTTTTGGTTAACTGGATTTCGTTTCGTTTTTTTCCCCGGTTAATTAGTTAATTGTCCATTAAATTAACCAACTCTTGGAAAAGTATATTACTCTGGATGATTAGAGAAACACCAAATTTCCGGAATTAACAACAATTTAAACTCTTTTTCTTACTTTTTATATGATCTTTACTGTTGTAAACTCTAAAAACCCACGCAATTGGATTATTTCATTTACTGTTATTGCTTTTTACTCAATTAGACATTTTCTTGGACAATCAATCAAATCACTAAATTTGATTCACTTGATTGTTGCTGATGATGATCAACAAAATATCTAGCACTTTACCTGAGATTGTAAATCATTCCGTAATTAGTTTGATCACCGTGAGAGTTTCAATTGATTGGTTATCTATCAAAATAGATAAATTCAGTTCTATCATATTATTATTGCAATTTTATTCTTATCAATTTCCAATGAGAATAATCATTAATTCAGCTGAACGATACGATAAATGAGCCCCATGAATGAACCAGATGAAGATTTCTGAAAGACAGGAAGATAAAGAAGAGAGAGAGAGAGAGAGAGAGAGAGAGTTGAAGATCAATACAAATACTATTTATCGGACAATTAACTTACCTCTACAATTTTAAAAGGTAAACAAAATTCAACATATGATCAATCAAGAGATTAATTAAATTAACTGAATTCAACGAATTTCAACCATTCAAATTTCTTGTTATTTTCATGGAAAGGGTAAGAATAAATCGATTACCTGATTAAGGAGCCAACAGGTTGATAAATTTTCTAAATTATCACAATTCATCATCTCCAATGATTAACCAGCGATTATCCTGTTGATGATAACCAAGAATAGAGAAGAGTTTTTTCTTGGGCCTTGGTCATCAAATTAGAATTTCAAATGAAATCATAAGAATTTTTTCTTCTAATAACCATGGAATTCACTTTACCTGTAAATAGAAATACTCATATTCCTATGAGCTGATCTTTCATCAAGGAGAAGAAGAAGAAGAAAAAAAAAACTCTAAATGAGAGAGAAAAGAACACAAAGGATTTTGGAAGAAAAGAAACAATCAGATGAAGATCACAATAAGTGGAAGAAGAAGAAGGGATGGAGATAAGAAAATTATGGAACATGATAATTGATAGAGAGAGAAAGTAGTTCTACAAGTATTGATGAGAAGTCTGGAAGATAAAAGAGAGAGAGAGAGAGAGAGAGAGAGAGAGAGAGAGAGAGAGAGAGAGAGAGAGAGAGTTGAAGATCAATACAAATACTATTTATCGGACAATTAACTTACCTCTACAATTTTAAAAGGTAAACAAAATTCAACATATGATCAATCAAGAGATTAATTAAATTAACTGAATTCAACGAATTTCAACCATTCAAATTTCTTGTTATTTTCATGGAAAGGGTAAGAATAAATCGATTACCTGATTAAGGAGCCAACAGGTTGATGAATTTTCTAAATTATCACAATTCATCATCTCCAATGATTAACCAGCGATTATCCTGTTGATGATAACCAAGAATAGAGAAGAGTTTTTTCTTGGGCCTTGGTCATCAAATTTAGAATTTCAAATGAAATCATAAGAATTTTTTCTTCTAATAACCATGGAATTCACTTTACCTGTAAATAGAAATACTCATATTCCTATGAGCTGATCTTTCATCAAGGAGAAGAAGAAGAAGAAAAAAACTCTAAATGAGAGAGAAAAGAACACAAAGGATTTTGGAAGAAAAGAAACAATCAGATGAAGATCACAATAAGTGGAAGAAGAAGAAGGGATGGAGATAAGAAAATTATGGAACATGATAATTGATAGAGAGAGAAAGTAGTTCTACAAGTATTGATGAGAAGTCTGGAAGATAAAAGAGAAAGAGAGAGAGAAGAAAATAAAGAAGGTCGAAAGAGAGAAAAGAAAGAGTTGAATGTTCATATAAACAGTTTCCCTCATTTTCTTTGCTGGATTAGTGTTGATTCTCAATCGTTGGTTCAACATTTTCTCTTTCTTTTCTTTCTTTTTTAGAATTACTTACCACTTGTTCTTCTTCTTCTTGGATCCTCCTTTTCATCCTGAAACCATGATGATGATGATGATGATGAAGATGATGAACACAATGGAAAAAGTCGATCTTTTGGAGGACGACGACTAAAAACAAACCAAACTTCATTTCTACCTGAACGCAAGTGAAGAAACAACAACAACAAACATTATCACATTTCTCAGTTTCTATCAACAATCAACAGTCAATTAACAAACCAACCAACCAATCAATCACCAAACAGTAACACACCACCAACAGGATCACCATTTCTACCTCCACCATCACCTCATCACCTCATCATCTCACCTTTATCACCACCGTTGACAAGAAACAAGTAGAATAGAATTTTTTATTTCTTCTATTCTCACATCATCAACATTTTTCTCTTTTCTCTCATTTTCCTTTAAGTTTATTCTCAAAATTTTCTTTCTTCTCTTTTCAACCATTTAAAATTCTATTCTCTTTAATCATCTCTTTTTTCTGGTCATTTTCTTTTTTCCTCATCATCATCTCTCTCTCATTTCAACAGTTTCAACGAGTCATCATGTTAATTGTCTCTAATTAGTGTTGTTATTGTCATTTAACGTTTAGATTAACAAACGGATTGACTTTTGGTTTCTCTGTGAATTTTTGATTACATTTACATTTACTAATCCAACTGTTACCAAGCGATTAAGATAATATGTAATCCATTGGGTTTATCATTGGTTCAAGTGATTTTCTTTTCTGTGTCCAATTGTCTACTTCAAATGTGACTAATCAACTATCTGGTGTTAATTGTTTACTGGTTAATTCTCTCATTAATTTGGGTCTTCTCTCAATTGTTTACCTATAAATTTTGATAATCACAATCAACACAATAATCAACCATGGATACTTTATGTTTATATTTTCCTCTTCTCCTATTAATTGGCCTTTCTGATCAAGGTTTGTGTCTCATGTTTTACAATTTGTTCATTAGATGATTTCAATCATCATGAAAGACACAATTTAATTTACCAAAATGATTAACCAAACAAGCTAATCAACTGAAATCATCATTGTCGTCATTATCATGTTTCCTCTTTCTCCATATATTATTTTTATTATTAATATTATTTCTTATCCAATGAGCCTAAGGAATTATTTTTATTAACCTTACCCTTGAATCTGGTGATGATTTTCATCACCATTATCATCAATATAATCGTTAATATCATCATCAGAATCAACAACAACCATCACATGAGTTAATTTTAATAGTAACCATTTTTTTTTAGGTAGAAAATCATTAAAATTTGTTCTCGATCGTTAACCTTCAACAGGTAGGAAAAAGTAATATACATTTTCTCAATCGCCAATCATAATCATAATCATCGTGTAAGAAAACTACTGAATAATGTTACTAATAAGATGAAATTAGATGATTAAACTGTCAAAGTGATTATTTTCTCAGGTAATTAGTGAGGTGAATGTGTCTGTGTTGAGATGATTTTGATTAACTTGATGAAAAGAGGAAAAAAAAAGTAATAAAAAAAAACAACGACTCATCACATTTACCTGATTCGCTTGTTAATTTGCCAGCCAAATTTTGGCTTTGATGGTTTTTTCTTTACCACCAAAATCCGTTGTCACAATCATCAATTTCGTTCACCAATTAACTAATTGTCTTCTCTCTTTAATCCTTTTCCTATATACAGAAGATTTAATCTCAAATGGATCTAGTGTATTCAAGGAACTAAAGTTAATCCCTTATGATGCAATATTGGATGAAACAGTTACACCAACATCATTATCATCTTCAAGCAGATCACCGGAATCGGATGATAATCCTCACCACAATCAAGACGAAGACGAAGGTAACAATTGACTATTAATCTCTATTATTATTTTCTTATTGTCATTCAATCATCATCTTATCAAGAAACATCACTTTACTCTCTCTCTCTCTCTCCCTCTCATCACCTTTTTTCTTCTTACTGTTCACAACAATTAACTAACAATCAATTGATAATCTTTTTTGTCTTCTCAAGTGTTTGTATGTCTTTTCTATTGGACTAATCTTAATCTAATCAAGCATTTCGATACTTGAGTAACATCCTTTCACTTCAAACTGACCACTAGTCATTTAATATCTTCATTTACAGTTACTACGATTGATAATCAGACCTGTTGATTAACGTGCACACAAAAACACACATACACATTTGTCCTCTCATTTAAAATGTTAATAACTTGTATAAATTGTGTTGGACAATCAAGAAAGAAAGGGATTAGATTAACAATTAACCAACAAAGTGAAATATAATCAAGAAAATTAGGTTGATGAAGATGAGAGAGAGAGAGAGAGAGGGAGAGAGTTGACAAGGTAAATGATGAGAGTTAATGAAAATTAAGAAGCAGTTATATCATTAATGTCCAGTTTGTCCAAGCAACAGATTAACTTACATTTTGAAAAGACGGAAACTTAAGTATCACATCATCATCATCATCATGTTAGTGATGAGGATGATGATGATCATCATCTTCATCATTATTATTACTAACATGATATATATTAGTTTGAGACTCTCTTTCCGCTCTGCTTGATATCCTAACAGATAATCATCCTCATCATCTTCAGAATACCTGAAAATGTGTCATTATCATCGTCATCTTTATGTCTTCTTCCTTTTTATCATCATTCCCCTCTTGATCCTCATCATCATTTAGAAACATTATCTTTAATTGTAACTATTACAACGATGATAAAAATCATCAGGTATCATCTTCATTATCCTAATCTTTATATTCAAATTGTTTTCACCGAAAATCGTTTCACAATTTAAATGATGATTCTTATTGTTCCTGATCAACATACACACTTAAGGAACTTAACAATTAGTAAATTAAAGGAATCACCTTTATGAATTAACAGCTCACTAATCAACTAACTAACACAATCTATTAATTGTTAACACAATCAATCAACCATCTTTATTATCAATAATAATAATAGAGTCGTTGATGATTCCCTTTTTTGGACGGAAATAGTTGATGATTTAACTTTAATTTAAATTGTTGTTTTTATCGCCTCTCTCTCTCACCATCACTCTCTTAATTGTTGGCCCTGTTTTGCTTTGAAATAACGTGACAATTAACTAATTCCTTCACTATTAACCTGTATCTCCAATAAATAATAGTGACGATTTGAATTTGGTTATGTATTGAATATATAATTATCTATTATATATTTCCAATTGTAGTCAATTAATAAATTGTTACCTCTTTTTATTGTAATGGTGATGATAATTCAGTTGATAGTTAATTGTTAATACAATTGATTAATTTTTAATTAGTTGATTACTATTATATATATTAATACATGAAGTTAAGTTGATCTAATTTAACTTTTTTTTATACTTTTGTCTCCCTCATTTAGATTTGATTTTAATTGTTCATAGAATTAGTTTTTAATTTTTCTTATTACAATTTAATTTAGTTAACACTTACTTACCTTTTATTTTTGTCCCTTTGATTGTTAATCATGTTGTTGTTGATTTAGTGATAACAAGAATTAAATTGTTGATTGTATTACTCTTGGTGTTGGACAACATTGACCTGACAACAATTAACTACAATTAAAACATATCATTATAAAGGTTACTCGTTTTTTTTAATAGACAAAAAAAATTCAATCTAATTTACTTGAGACTATAAATTGTTACAATTTAATTGGTCTAGATGTTGGTCATATTGATCAAATACTATTTCGTAATTAACTAATTGTTATTTCAAGAAATGTAGACATACAATTGATTAGCTAATTTATAATTGATTGTGATGAAAAAAAAACAAATAACAAACATGAAAATTGATTGTGATATTTATAATACAATCAATTGATACAATTATTTATATCAAATGTTTTTCTTGATTAACAATTAGCACGGATCAATTGATTGTTACAAAATGAATCCGGGTTGTCCAATCACAATCAAACTTTGATTAAATTGATTTGCTAACCTTGATTGTTGAGTTAAATCCTACCGATTTACTTGATTACAATTAAAGGGAAAAAAATGATGAGCGTTAATCATCATTTTTAATTATAAAATGAAATCAAATCCGTTTATAATTTCAATCACAATCAACTGTAACTCTAATTGTTTACTAAAGTTAAATTTTCAATGATGTTTACATTGATCTAGAACAATTAACAAACAATTAAGATTCAACTCCTCTTAGATTTAGTTATTATTATTAATAATAATGACCATTGTATCAATAGATTAAACTACCTACACAATTAAGTTTACAATTAAACAGCTACTAAATCATTAAATCAGTCAATTAAGTTTCAATCTGTCCTTCCTCAGGTAGTTAACCTAAACCTGGACAATCAAATTTAATAACAAACACCCATGTAAATTGTTGCCTGATGCCCTTGACTAGATTAATATTCATTGGAGTTAATTGTTGTTGATTTAGATCTGTTTCCTGACTCTAATACAAATTAAACAATTTCTGAGGGTCAACCACAATTTACTGATTATGTTATCATTTACTTTTATCATTCATTGTTGTTTAACAATAGACTTTCAATGACCATTACAATTAAATCAAAAAAAAAATTTCTAAGGTAAAGAATGACTTTAATTGTAATGGACTAAACTACAATTAAAGCCATTCAAACAATTGATTCTCATTGAATTAATTTGTTAATCATTTACAATTTGAGAAAAAGTCTGTCAAAAATGATTCTAATCATTATCTCATGATTTGGATCAATTTGTTTTCGTGTTTATAATTAACATCTTAATTGTAATTGACATGCAAGTCAACTTAATCCATCTACTTGCACAATTAACTTGATTAACTTGTAATCTTTTTGTTTTATCAATCAAAATGATTTAACAAACACAACAGCAAACAATTAAAGGTTACAATTAGATTAACCTATGCTCATCATTAACAATCAATATATCAGCTTAATAATATTTAATTGATTTGAGTCAACTAACAAACTAACAAACTGTAAACTGAATTAAGACAACAATCAATAGATTAATCTGATTGTTTTTTTCATGATAATCGTGAGTTAATTATTACTAAATGAAGATGAAAACAAATTGATTGTTATAGTTAATTGTTACTTGTTGATCAGTCAAGAAAAGCTCATCTTAATCATGATTTTTTAATTGTTACCATTTTGTGATTGACCACCAATCAACCAGGATAAAAAAAAATGAAGATTTTGTTTTTCAATTGAACAATTAAACTAAATCACTCGTTGATTTTATTATTAGATTGAAATTTTTGACTATTTTTTTAATATGATTAAGCTTGATTGTTGATGATTAATGTAAGTGGATGACACTTGATTCTTGATTAAAGTTAACATCAACTTCTGGGTTAATTCATGTATATTAATTTTAATTTAATCGTCACGGTTATAATAATAATAAGAGTATTAAAAAATAGATTCCTCTTAATCCAGTTTCAATTGGATGATGTTTAATGGTGATTAAGATGATAATCAAGATGATTATGATGATAACCCAACCTTTAAATCAATTCAATGTATATTTTGATTTAGTTACTGTCATCTGTTGATCATCTAACTTTTACAATTCAATTGTTATTATTAGTTGATTACAATTTATTGATTACACCTTGACATTAACCAGGTATCAAATTTGATATTATGATTATCAATCAATTGAATTTTTCAAATCATCCCAATTGATTGTGAATCAATATAATCACTGGAAACAATCAATATCGTTACAGTTGAATTTAATATTGGAAAAAAAGTACGAAATGATTTAATTATCTTTACGATTTAAATTATTATATCTACGATTAATTATTACCTTCTCAATTGTAATAATTAAAAGTCAATTTGCTGTCTGATTGTCATAAAAAATCAGACAATTTGATTAGTTTAATTGGTATCTTCAAATGTATTACAATTAATAGTTAGTTATTATTGATAATTTGATATATATTATTATTATTGAGAAACAATTAACAGGATTGATTTGATTAAGTTAATTACTCTTTAAGAGGAAAAACTTTTCTTCCTTGATAAAACTAATTGTATTATTTTAAAAAGTTATTGATTGTTTTGAAAAATTGTTCTCAAGTAACAATTAACTTTAATTGTTTGTTAATTTTTTATTTTCACAAGATTAGTATGATCATTGATTAACTCAATTAGCTGATCAGTATCTAATTTAAGATTTAAGTTCACAGAAATTGTAAATAATGTAAAAGCTTCAATGGTTTCTAATGATCTGAATCAAAAATCTTAATCTTAATCACAAACAATCAGAATAGTAATCAAGCACAATCCCATTGAAGGATTAAAATTAAGAATCCAAAGAAAAAACTTTTCTTTACAATTTAGAAAGTTAATTGCTGAGAGAGAGAGAGAGCGAAGGGATAACTAATATCCCTTTAACAATTAGAATTGATTGTTGAATGAAATGGTTGATTTTCACTCTTAATTGTGTTAGATTTTAACGGTTGCCATTTATATTTTATTTTCCATTCGTTTACAATCAAATCAAAATCAGACAAGTGATTTCTAAATTTAGAACAATTTAAAAGTTTCTCTTCTCATGATTATAACAATTAACTTTTGTCTTAATCATAAATCATCCTCTTATTTCAATCGTCACAATTAATACACAATTATCATAATTATCACCAGAAAAGTATAACAACAATCAAAGGTATAAAATTGTTGTGATTTACTTGATTGTTTCAATTCTTCACGAATTAACAGATTAACTTTTTGTTTTCCTAAAGAAAATTAAGTTAATCTTAATTCTTGGTTAACAATTTAATCTCTCCAACAATTACTATTATCATTATGATTGTTAAGCTCTTCCTGTTGATGAAGATGATTTTTTAATGTTTCCGTATTGTGGTTGTTATATTAATCAACAATTAAAAACAATTGTCCTGTCGATTGCAGTTAAATTATATTCGTGATCAATTTGTTGGTGTAACATGAATTAAATTGTTTTCTAAATCCAATTAGTAACCATTTAGATTATTATAATATATCGTGATTTGATTCAAATCTATTTCTTTAATTGTGATTAAACAGTCCACATGATAATGATAATCCTTTAAATTGTTATTGTCTATCAAGGAAGCTAATACAGAGTAGATGGAGAAACAATAACAATTAACTAATTAACCATAATGATGATTCCAGTAACTAATCATTAAGACACTAAACCAATTAACTTTTTGTATAATTAATTGTCTTTAATTGTTTCAAAAGTTGTCTTTTCATCAACAATCAATCTTTAATTCAATTTTGTTGTAACAATTTAATGATTTTTTTTTTACTTTAAAAATCATCAATCAAAAAGTTTTCAGGGTTATCACTATTTCTGATCATTTCCTTGATTGTGTAATCAAGTGTCATTCAAACAACTTAAATTGTTTGACTGTTAATTTGTCATAAATCACACTAACCAACAATTTACTATGTACTTTAATTGTAATTACAGTTATTAACCATAGACCTTAAGTTTAATCACTGACCTCGGCTAATTTGTGCCTCTAATTGTATTCTAAATGTTTCGATCAACTTTTAAACATTTAAAAAAGTTAATCAGTAGCTAACCTTGATTAGTGTAAACTAAATTGTCACAATTTTCATTGATTGTTTCTAGTTAATTGTACAATTATTAATGAAAATTGTTTCTTACATTTAAATTGTGTGAAAATGATTATCATTTTAATCAGTAGATTAACATGAAACGTTAATTGTTGTTGTTAATCAGAACTCACAGAAAAGAGGGAAAGTTAATTGTAACAATTAGTTTTTGGACATGATGACAATTATCACAATTCTCATGATAGTTAGTTAATTGTTACTCTTCTGTAACACAATTAGAAATCCTCTGCTAACCTTGTTTTTGCTCAAATCGTTAACCATTAAAGCAAAAAAGTTGATTAAAAATCTTTAATCATCATTAAGATTTAAATGATTACATTAACTAAATTACAATCACATACATTTAATGTAAAATAAATTGTTGAAAATATTAATTTGATTGTAGTGTTGGCTTCCTTAATTTCATCAACAATCAGCTCTTCCTTAATTTTCATTTTAATTTCACTTTCATCTATTGAATTAATTTGATATTATCATTAAGCCCTAACTTTTTGTATTATAACAATCAACTTAATTACAATTACCTTTCAATTTTCACCTTTATCATGGTCATAATGATCACCATTATCATCATAATTTAGTTAATTGTGATGTTGTGTTAAAAAAAATATACATATTGATTCAATAATCAATAACTTATCATTACCTGAATAATAATAACAAAATCATCATTTAAATTGTTAGGCAACAATTTAATTTTCTCATCTTCAAATATTACTTGATTATATGTATTACTATAATAATGATAATCTTAATTGTTGATTCATCTTCATCAATCAATGATTACGATTGTTTAACTTTAATTGTGGTGATTGTGTTATACTTAATGTGATAAACTGTCAACCCTAATCATTTCAATAATTTCACTTGATTAACTGTTATTCAAATTGCTGTTGTGTTTTATTAACTAAAAAACTAATCATTTAATTTAATCGTGACTTAACTATAACAATTAACTGATGATTATAATAGTGTTGGATTATCACTTTTTCTGTGATTTATGATTACAGTTGAAAGTGATTGTTATTACAATTTAATGATCAGTTTGACGAAAAATTTATTGTTTCTGATCATCAACAGTTATCATTAACTAATATTAAGAACTAATTAACAATCAGATTACTTGATTGTATTGATTAGTTTACAATTAGCTCTTATTAAATAACAGACCTTCAAGAATTAGGAAAATCTATTGATTCTTAACCAGGACCAAAAGAAACTCTCAGAATTAAATCATTTGAAATCAAACATGATCGAACTTAATCATTTGTTAATCATTTAAGGCTCGTGAGTTGATTGTAAACTAATCATCTTCTTAATTGTTATATCAATATCATTGATCCTTCCTCTTCCGTCTTAACATTTATGATTTACTTTAATCTCAATATTAATCAACTAACTACATGAATAAGTGATTAGATTGTGATCATCAACTTGATTGTCGATTTTTCTGTTTAAATCAGTTAATCACGAATCCATTGATAACATGATTTAATTCAATTAATGGTCATAATTAAGGGAAAGTTGTAAGACTCTAAGACAATCTAATCAACTATTGGAGCGAAAATGTTTCTGATCTTAATTTTATCTCAGCAATTAAGGCTTGATTGTAGTTGATTTTACATATTAAGGTAACAATGTGTTAATTGTCAAACTATTGGATTAATTTTCCTCATCGAAGTGTTGATTAATCATTGATTGTTACTGACGGTTAAAAGTTTATCCTCTAATACCTTTGATTATCATGGTAATAAATATTGATTGTTTGAGTTTGTTGATTTATTGTCATTTAAACATTCACTATGATTATAATTGTTTTTAGTTAATTGTTGTTTTTTTAATGATAAAAACACTCAATATATCCTTGACATTGCAATGTCAAGGGTAAATTGTCATCATTAATTGTTTGTTTGCATTTAAATTGACATTCAATTGGTACTCAACTGGTGATGATGATGATCATCTTGATGACTCCTAATTGTTAAGGGTAAACAACAATCAGCTAACAACAATTACCGTTCAAATAATTACGCCATGTTGACAGTAATTCAATATTGTATTTAGGACAATTTAAAACATTGTCAGCAATTTAAACATCATCATTATCATTGTTGTTGATCAAATATATGGATAAAATTTTCCTTTAAATTGTTGGTTAATTGTTGATAACTTTTTCGCAACCAAAATCATGTTAATAAGTATTATTTAAGCTCATCCTTGATTCATGCTCTTGCTATTAACAACAATTAAAGGATTGTCATTGGTGGTTAAAGGATTTCTTAATTGTTGATCTTTGTGACCAATTAATCAATTTGATTCAGTTTGACTGAATTGATCAGATGAGAAAAGAAAACTTTTACAATCAGTTAATTTAGTTGTATCCAATTTGATCACAAACAATCAATTCAATCAATAAATTAACCCCACTTGGTGAATGAGTGAATCTTGATAATGAAAATTAAATTGATTGTACTAATCAGGAAAATTAAAAATGAGTAAATTATATAAATTAAATTAACTTTTTCCTTCTTCAGATTAATCCAATTGATTTTGATTCGGTTACAGGTCAATATTTAATTCTTGATGGTGTTAATTGTGATCGGTTTAATTAAATTGACAATAATGATCATTGATCACTGATCATTGTTAATCCTTTCATCTAATCAAAATGTTTTCCTAATTTTTCATTAGATAATTAAATTAGTGAACAAAGTAATTGATTTAACGAAGTGGTTGAAGTTCAATTGTCTAATTAGAGTTAGTGAAAAAAAAACAGTAACAATATTAATTAACTTGGATAATTGTAATTAAATTAACATTATCAACAATTTACTTGAAAGATTAGGACAAGGTTAATGTATTGTAAATTTAATTGTATTGTAATTAGTTGATGGTCAATTAATATTAATTGTTGATGAGTATTTGAAATGTAATAATAATCATCATTATCTCACCAACAATTAAAAAACTTTACACAATCAAAGTGGTTCTTATAACAATAAAATGTTTTCTAATCGTGAGAATCAATTGATTAAGTCGACAATCAATATCATCATTAAATTCAATTACAATTAGTAAATTAATTCCAACATTTTCCAATGAAAAAATCGTAATTTTTATGTTAATTTAAATTTAAATTGTTACCAATGAGAAACCTTGAAAAATCATTAAGATTAATCATCAAAGGAAGATGAATATTATTGTGAAGACTAACCTTTCCTTTAATTGTTGTTGATTGTGATTAACATTTAATAATATTGAATGATGATAATGATGAATACAATTAAGTGAGGTCAATTGTAATATATATTATTATCATCATGATTATTAATTGTTAGAAGAAAAAAAAATAAAGTGAAAGTTGTTAATATTAATCAGCAAGAAAATATATTTAAAAAATAAATGATTAACTAAATAATAACAATTAATAACCTGAGGCATTTACACAAAGTAATCACAACAATTGTAAAAACTTTAAATGAAAACAAATAATCACAATCAAATGAATACTTACAAATCATAATACACCAATATGATTATTAGTATTTCATCATCAAAACAACAATTAACTAACAGTTTCATTAACAATTGTATTAACCCAATTAATTTAGATTCCCTTTGAAATATAATATTAACTCAATTCCTCTTGTTGTAATGATGTTTTTTGCGATAACGATTAACCTTCCAGTTGAAAAGTTACTTAAATTGCTAATTGATTTAATTGTTTTTCTGTCTTTTCAGATGCTAATCAACGATCTCATAATGCGACTCCATCCTCATCCTCATCCTCATCCTCATCTTCATCATCTTCATCTTCATCATCAATTCCAACCACTAACATTTACAATGCATCAACAAAGATTTATATTGTTGCCATTATCGGTATTGTCCCAGCCATTCTTGGTGGATTAGTTTATTGGCTTAATTATTTTCGTAAATCATGTTTCAAGGTGATTAGCTGTTTCATCCCCAATTAGCTAATTAGATTAAGTAAACAACAAAAAGATAGTAATACAATTTAGATTAACTAAATCAATTGATACAATTGATTGATATTGAATTTGTAAAGTTTATCAACCATCAACACATCAATAACAACAACAATTATCAAACTTAATTGGATAACTGATTATACGGCTAATTGATTAACTTTACATATTGATTGGAATAATGTTAATAATCAACATAATTACTTAATTATTATAATGATAATCGTTGAAAATTATATCCTGAAAAAGTTTAACAACAATCAATAGTTGATTGTCGCTGGAAACTTGTTAAGTTTGATAAAACAAATGAAATCAAATTGATTTACAGGATTGTTGATTACTGATTGCAATATTTTTTTTCAATTGTCATCTTTTTAATTGTTCATCTGTTAATTGTTAATTCATTTCTTTCTAATAATAATTTAGAATCAAAGAAAAAAACAAGAGAATAAGAAAGTTATGGCTTCCAAAGGCTGGCATGGGAATTACATTCGTCCTTATCGTTACGAGGGTAAAGATGAGAGTACAATTAAATTGGGATCCGATGAGATGATGTCCACTCACGATGATAAAGATTTAATCACCTCCCCCATTGTCCGAAAAAAACGGACCTTCTCCATTGAATACCCTCGTCACAATTTAGAGTTACTTGATATTCTGGGCGAAGGAAATTTCGGTCAAGTTTGGAAGGCCAGAATTACTCATTTCCGTGAGATATCATATGTTGCCGTGAAAACCAACAAACGTAAGACCCAATTGAGTTAAATTGACCAACAATTAAACAATCAACAAGAAAATTTGATCACAATTAAGATTGAATAAGCCGCCTTAATCAATTTGAAAGTCAATCAATTGTCAAGTTGATTGTTTATCTTTGTTGCTATTGTTGATTTTTCAATGTTACCTCATTTGATTAATCAATACAACAAAATTAATCTATAATTGTCACAATTATCATCATGATTAATAAGAAATAATTTGATTTCGGCGTACTAATTAAACTTTTCACAATCAAGTACAACTGTCAATTGATGATTAGTTATACACAATCAGTTGATTTGTTGAAAATACTACCAATCATCATCAGTAATTACGATGACGATAATCCAGTAAGGTTAATAATCAAAAGCTTAATCATGATGATGGTTGAATAATTGTTAATACATGTAACTGAATTAAACTAATTTGTTTTTTTTTCTTAATTTTTTTTCTCGCTGATTACTTTTGATGACAATGAAAAAAATGGTGACCAATATTAATAACGTTATGGTGAATCTTTTTCAATGTACTTTCTCAATGATGGTCAACAATAATTATTTAATTGTACCTGATTGTGGTCAACTAATCATAATTATTAGCTGATTGTGGTGATAAAGATTGGGAGGATTTACTTCAAGAACTGGACATTATGCTGAAATTGGGTAAACACCCAAATGTTGTCCGACTTTTAGCTTGTTGCACTGAAAAAGGTTTGATATTTACCTCACTAATTGTGATGATTACAACTAATTTTGATTCTAATTATTTAGTAAATTGTCAATCACGATTTACCTTTATTCATCTTCACCTAACCTTCATTATCCTCATGTAATCATCATCAATTAATTGTTACTGTTTGTATATTAACCATTTTTCCTTGGCTCGAGTTGATTGTAATAACAATTTAAAAGTTTGATTTTTTTTTCATATTAAGTTAGTTAGTTAACTTTTTTTTTACCAAACTTTTATAACAACAATTTATTAATTCACCTTCAGGCCTTTCAATTGTTGTTATATTTATATTTATATTAGTATTTTATTATTATATTAACAATATAATAATTGGATATCGTCTTATATTTAACTTAAATTCATATTGTCATCTTAATCCTTGTTAGTGTTAATCTAATCAGTTAATTTGGTTATGGTCAATAAGTTGATGATTTAACCCGATTAAATTGTTATTATGTGGTTATTTTAGATTGTCCAGTAAAAATTAATTGTTATAATATATTTGATGATGATTATGAATTAATATATGTTAATCATGGTTAACAATCAGTAGCTTATTATTATTATATGATAATGATTTTGATAATATTATCAGATTAAATTGTTTGATGGTAATTTAAATTATCAGCATGATGAGAGATGGAAAATTATTTCAAGCAAAGTTTAAATTGTTACCATATGAATTACCTACTACTAACTAAACAATTTAATTCTGATTAACATGTAATCATAATTTAGTGATCAGTTGATTTTTGATTTACATGAAAAACAAGATCATCTTTAAAATTAGACTTGACCTAATTTCACTGATGAATGCATGGTAAATCATCATGATTAACTTACCGATTAATCTTGGTGACATTTAAATCATTGGGATGTGTTAGTTGATTGTTTAGTTAATTTAGTTTATGGTTGACAGGAAAAAAAAATTGAATCTTTTTTGCTTGATATTAAATATTTTCTCATTTCAGATTGAGACACTTAATTGTTTACTCTGTCTAATTAGTTTGTTCAACTATAGAGGTTAATTAAAGGTTGATTGTAATATTATCATGATTTAGGGTCAATATAATTTAATTAACTATTCAGTAAGTTAATTTGATTGTGATCAAAAGTTACGATATGATAACATCAATGATATTTTTAGCTTTCTAATTTTTTGTTTGGTTAGTAAACTTAATTGTTTCTGATTTTCACTTTTGATTACAATTTGCTTAATTGTCCGATATGATTAACTTTTTGTTAACTTCAATTAAACATCCTTGCTGTTATATATTGATAATTGTTGCGCTTTGGTTAATTGTTAACCTTGTTGTTGGTTTACCTTAAGGTGCATTTTAATTTTGTAACAATTTAACTTGGTAAAGTTAATCATCTACTAACAATTTACTAATCATTTTATGAGATGAGTTTCATTACATTGAAATGATGATCATGTTAATCTAATCCTTGACTGTTAATTTACTTTCTAAATCTCAATTTAACTCCTAATCATTTTCTCTAAGGACTTTCAGTTTTTCAATGATTGATTGGCTTTTCTTCATGATTTACTAATTGTGTTTTCTTTTTCTTAATTTAGTTCCATATTATCTAATCATGGAATACGTTGAACATGGGAAATTACTTAATTACATTAGACAATATCGAAAGGATAATCGCTATTACAATGATGGTTACTATCGATTCACAATCGCTGATTTAATCTTATTTTCATATCATATTGCCAAAGGAATGGAGTTCATATCGAGCTATGGAGTAAATTAATTGTTACCGATAATTTAATTGCTTCTTGTTAATTGTTGATAGAATCCTAATTGTCTGATTTAATCACAATTCAAAGTGATGATTTTCTTATCCTTTTCTATCAAAATTTTGTATTACTTTTCCTCTTGAAATGTTTATTTTATTCATCCGTTGATTATTTTCATTTGAAGTTGAATTGTATTGTTGTTTAATTGTATCAGTTGATTGTTGTTCTGATGATGATTAGGTTAATAATTTCGATTCAGTTATTAAGCTTAAGGGTTAATAACTTTCAACGATTAACTTAATCTTTTTCGCCATAAATTTTAAGTCATTGAATTGAATAATTTAATTTAGTTGTTTAAATGATCAGATTTTGCCAGTAATCATAACGATGAAAGTGATTGTGTTGAGATTGAAATTAATTGTTAATAACAATTAGTGTTTAAAAATGGAAAAATTATCAAATTATCTAAATTACTTTTATCATTTGAATCTTAATTGTGCAATAAGAAAAGGAAATCAAACAATCAACTTCCTCTGAACAACAATTTTCATCTTACAATATGAAATAATGATCACAATTAGTGAAAATGACAACAATTAGAAAACAGTTAACAAGATGTTAATTATTCTGTAAATTTAATTGTAACTTACTTTTCTCTTCTCTCTCTCTCTTAATCCACAGATAATCCATCGGGATTTGGCAGCAAGAAATATCCTAATCTCCAAAGATCGAGTATGTAAAGTAGCTGATTTTGGATTAGCTCGAAATGCGATCAATTATGATCGCGATGGGTACGAACAAAAAACTCGAGGAGCGATGCCGATCCGTTGGATGGCCCCCGAATCATTGAGCTTAAATATATTTACCGCTAAATCGGATGTTTGGTCATTCGGTGTATTACTTTGGGAGATTGTCACTCTTGGATCAACACCTTATCCCGGATTAACGGCCAGTGAAGTGGTCAAGAATGTCCGAGAAGGTTACACCATGGAAAGGCCACCAGTCCGTTGGTGTAACTCGGAGGTTTATACCCTAATGAAAGCGTGTTGGTCCAATGATCCCTCACAGCGGCCAAATTTTACCCAAATTAAATTAATTCTTGGACAAATGTTAAGCTCCCGACGGGATTATGTTGATCTTAGTGATTTCCAATCATCTGATCCTTATTACAACATAATGTACAGTTCACCTGGTGAAAAGGTTTAATTATTCATGCTGAGATTAAGACATTACCGGATTACAAAGTGACGATAATTGACACAAAATGCTAATATAATTAGAGTGATTTGACCAACAATCAAATTGAGTCTTTTTTTTTGTATTCCAATTTCATGTAACTTTTTTTCATATTCAATCTGTAAATAGAAACACATAAGTTTTGTTATTAACAATTAATTACAATTCGATGGAAAATTTTTGTAAAAACAATTAACACAATTGAATTGCCTGTAAAAAGAAAAAGAAATCAATGTTAATTGTTGTTAATTGTCATAATTACTCTTTTGCTTGTAAATAATCAAACAATACGATGGAGTCTGAGTTTCTCAGTGAATGAGAAAACAAAGTTTTGATGAATTGAATGGATCAATTAATGATAATAATTAAGCTTTTCAACTTGGTTAATACACGAAAGTGATTTCAAATTGATTATAATTGTGATTGATAAGTTTCAACACCCTTTAATTAACATTGTGTTAAGAAACTTGTTGATTGTTGTTAATATTATTTCTTGTAATCTAATGATAATAATTGAATAATATTCAAGTCAAAAATGTTTGATTCTGATTGTTATGTATTATTAACATGATTACAACAAAAGGTAAGGTTAAATCAAGGTGATGGTGATGATGATGATTAAACTGAGTTAATTGTTTTATCCATTGTTAACCTTGAATTGTGAAGATATATTTATATCCATACGGAGTGAAACATCAGAATGTAATAATCAGTGAGATGATGATGATGATTAGAATCGTAATTATAATTATATTGTTCTGAAAGATTTTTAAATTCAGAGAGATGATGATGAAGATCGTGTTACTATTTGTTTCTAATTCGTTGAGAGAAACAAATGAAGGCCAACAGGATGAAGAAAATAATCAAGTTAATTGTTGATTGTAATTGTTGTTCTAAGGATTCATTTTGAATCCTAATCAACGTTAATTTTAACAATTAGTTGTTGATTTAATAAATTATCTTGATGGATATGAGGCAAAGATAAACGGTCAAGTTAATTGTTATATAAGACACTTGGAGAGATTTTCTGATTACTTTGACCAGTTTCAACAGTCAATAGATGACCAATGGATAATTAAGAGGTTAATCACAATTTGAAGTGCTATGTAAATATAAATTTAGAAAAAACAATTTACCATCAAGTGTCTTCAGGTTGGATTCTAATTCCAAGGATAACCCTTTTCTTTTTGCTTGTCAAGATGAACTGTTGGTCTTCTGTGGTTAGTTAATTGTGGATAGAAATTGATTAAACCATCATTTGGAACCATTCAACTATTAATATCGATGCTTTGACTGATTGATATTAATCACTTTCTTTTTCACTCTTTGCTCAGGTCAATTACTTTACAAGGCAATGAAATTAATGATGATGAAGTGATGAAGGTAAAAAAGTGGTATTGATAATAGAGATATTAGCTTAATGAGCATCAGATTAGTGTAAGAGATTCATATGATTAAGGTGACATTAATCTTAAATAATCTTGACAAATTGCTTAGAATCTGTTTGGGTTAAAAGAATGAGAATATAATTAGTTGGTAAGAATAGATCTTAGTTAGTTGGTTAACTTACCAATTACAAGAGTATTGAAATTCATTTACAAAGATTAGAAAACGATCATTTCAAAATTGATCTTCCATCCAATTGAATTGAAACGAAACGAAACCTACCCAATATTAAATAGTCAACATATCAATCAAACTTAAAGATAAAACAAAGATAATCAAATAAAGTAGATAAATTTAAATTGTCATAATCTCAAGTGACTTTTGTGATTATCTAAATCCAACGGATCGGAAGGTTAGTCAATCCACCCAGTCAAAGTTTTCCTTCAACACTGGTAACGGAGAAATAAACATTTCCAATTGTTATTACCAACAATATAACCAACGATCAAAGGTAATCACAATTAACGATCAAAATTATTTCCATCACAATTAAATATTAAATATAAACAACAATCAAAAAGTAGGTGTTGTCAATATATAGAAAAACTGATTCCTCTGTTGACTTTTCAATTGGAACCTTGAAAAAGAGGAACAAGATAAACAATCAATGGTCAACAATTAACTGTCCTTGGTCTAAATTGTTACAATTAAAGAAAAATAAATCAATAAAACTACAAAAATTAAAGAAAAGACAATAACAATTAACAATAGTAAATATATATGATAAAACGATCAACAAGAAAAAATTAATTTTCTCCAAATTGATCAATAAGCCGAAAAAAAAGTTCTACGCTTAATCAGCCGATCGATTTGGTCAAGGTTCTTATGCTTTTTATGCCCTCGGTGTTTATTCAACCCTCATGTTGTTGTCAACAGGTTGTTGTTAATTAGTTAATTGTTTATTTACCAATTTACTATTAATTCTCATAGGAAACTCGATTATATGTGATTTATAAATTGTTGGTTAGTTAATCAATTGTGTTCTCGGTGTAATTACTGTTAAATAGATGATGACAGTTGAAAGATTTTGTTAATTTGTTGTTGGTGTTTAAAGGTGAAGACGCCCAATCATTATAACCATTGATTTCTCTTACAATTTAATCATATTAATCTTGGATCTTATTAAATTTCAACCTACACAACAATTAAAATTCATCCAGGTAAGTACATCACCAGATTATCATTTTATTTCTTGTTAATATATAATAATAATCCAAAGGCGAAAAGATTGGAATAGAATTTTTAGAATTTTAGAATTTTCTCTTGGTCGCTTTTGTTATTTTATTCTCTTCTCTTTCTTTTTTGTTCTTACCTTGATTTTTTATTCTCTTTTAGATTTCCAGCTATCATTACAATCTCATAAATTAGTTAGATTGTTTTAATTGAAGGACCGCCTAATGTTCATCATCATTTTCATCATTTTCTCTCATCATCTGTTGTGTGTCCCTTCATCTTTGTTTTCCCGAAGGATTAACAACAAAAACATTAACCAACCTGTTAATTGGTGTTGACCGTGAATCTTTATTCCTCATCGTTGTTTTAACTCTTTCCAATTAATTTATCACATTTAAAACATGATTTATGTTTTGATTAACAAATTGTTCCTCACCAATCAACCCGAAAGAGAGAGAAAAACAAATCATTCAATTTTTTTTCTGATATAATAGTTAAAATTAATGGATGAAGATTAACCTTGTCTGATTTTCATCAACATCAATCATCTAAACGTATTAGCCAATTGATTAATGCGGGAATTAACTAATTGTATATGTTTTCATCATCTATTGATATATCAGATTAGTGACACAATTTCAACTAATAACTGTAAATTTTGATAAACAATTACCTTAATTCACTTTAATCTAATCTAATATCAGTTATTAGTATTTACCATCTGATTGTTGTTGCTGTTTCTTAAACATCCAAACAATCAACTGTATATGAGATCATTACAGTTAATTATTGTGATTAATTTTTAACACTATCAAGCGATAATTAGTAAAAGTCATCATCATTTGTAATTAATTAATTACTATGTAAAAAAACAATGATCTCAGATTGATTCAGTCATTCATTTAATTGGTAAGATGAGTAAATTAAAATTTCTCTTTTAATTTAGATTTACCTTCTTAGCAATTAAATGTTAATTAATCTATTATTTTATTACTCATAAAGAATACATTGAAAAACAAGAATTAAATTGTTATCGTATAATATAATTATAGTAATTATTGTAAATCTATGATAACAATTTAATACCAATAATCAAAATTGACCTTCAATCAGCAATGGTAATCATTTAATCATCGTAATAATTTAAATTGTACGAAAAAGTTAATCGTAACTTATATTAACAATTAGCTGAATAGTAAATGTTAATACAAATATAGATAAGATGATCAGCTTTTAATGAGCGATATGAGATTTAATTTAGCTGAGTAATTAATTCATATGAAAGTAAATTGTTGAACAATTAACTAGAAAATTTGATTTTTTTTTTCGTTGTTTAATAATTAGTTTTTTTTACCTTCAAATGTGTTGGTGAGTTTTGATTACAAGAATTGTTGTTGTTGAAAGTTAGTGATTAGTAAATTGTGATGAAATTTTACTAAACTGGATTAAGCTTTTTTATACAAATTGTTGATTGGGAAGAGCCAAGGACTGGGTGAATCTGATCTTTCCTTAATTGCTGCTGATCCTCCTAATTTTTCATTGACCAGCGAGAAATCAAAAGGTAGACCAGTTGAGGGTTCACTTGGTGATCTATTGTTGTTTTCAGGTTGACCATTGGTGTTAATTGTTATTTGATCAGTTGGTTGGTCTGATTTTTTCATCCAAGCGTAAGTCCATTCAGGTTCATCTTGATTCCAATCATTGAATGAGTAGGGTGGTTGTTGTGAGGGAGGTCCACCCGCCGATGGGGGTGAAGATGGTGAATAGCTTCCTGGTAGCTGTGGGTACCCGGAGGGTGGTTGGTATTGGGGATATTGAGGGTATTGTGGTTGATTTGGTGCAACGGGAACCGGGAGATTGGGTCCAGAGGAGGAGGGAGGATCAAATGGATTATAACTACCGGTGGGAGGTCTAATTGTTCTGGGTTCTTCTTCTGTTTCAGGTCGTTCCCTTTCAGAGGAAGGTTCAACTGGAGGTGATGATGGTGGTGAGAGGGAGGGATAAGTTCCTGGTGAAGGTGGTTGATAGGGTGTGGGAGGGGATGAGGGTGATGATGGGGAGTAAGGGGATTGAGGGAATTGAGGGAATACTGGAAATGAACCTGATGGATTATAACTTCCTGTTGATGGGATGAAATCTGATGGTTGTTGAGGTTGAGGTGATTGTGGGATCGAGGGTTGTGATGACCATGAAGGATAATAACCTTGAGGGGGAAATTGTTGTGGTGGTGATGCTTGTGGCGGTGGTGGTGGTGGTTGTTGGGGTGGTGAGTAACTTTCACCGTTTGAACCACAAGAGACTCGATACCAATAATCACAGGTCATTAATTCTTGACTGAATAATGTTCCCTGTGGACAAGTGAATGTGTCCCGCCGACCACCATGACAAACATGATACGAACTACAGCCGGAGGATAAATCAGCGTACATACCAAACAAAGCTTCACCTGAACAATCAGCTTGTAAATTGGTCGGAGTTGAGCCGAGATTATAAATCGGAAGGGAATATGAACTAATCGAAGCTCCGATTCGTTGACCAAACCCAATTGCCGTTGACGGTGAACTATTCAAATTAATCTGTCCAAGGTAAATGACACAATTAACACAATCAATTAATCGAGCAAAACAATCAACGGAAACAATTAATTTCTCGTTTTTTTTTCTTCGACTCATCAATATATCCAAACAGATTTTTATTACTACTATTTTTGATTAATTGGTTTCATTCATTAATCTAATCAAGGTCATTTGATTGTAACAATTAATCAGTGATCGGTGTCAATAACTGAGAAACAAACAATCTACTGATTTAATTGTTTGCCAATAAAATTAGGATTAGAAACAAATAGTTTTAATTAACTTACTTTTGACTGAACTTGGATGATAAAGTTTAAGTAACTTAAAAGTAACAATAATTTACTAATTGTGTCCATGGTTTTTAGCTGGTCACTTGTTGAATTAAATTTAGTTGGCAATCAATGGTCAATGACTGTTGGTTGTAACACAATTAAGATGTTAAAATTGTTGATTGTTGTTTAAAATTCACTGTTTACTCTGTGATAATTTGTTTGGCTTAACATTTGTGATTAACTAAGTGATTTAAATATCGGCATTTAAACATAGGAATGAGTGAGTAAGTGAGACAAACACCGAGGGAGTGTAAGAGTGAGAGAGTGGGAGAAACAGATAATCAGAACCTGATATTGGTAAATTGAATTGAATTGAATTTCTATTGAAATTGAAAAGAAAACAAATGAAAGTGGAAAAAACTTGTTAGAAGAACTTGAAAATTCTGAGTTTCTACAGGTAGATTAGCTTCTCTCTCTCTCTCTCCATCTCCCTCTTCTCTTTCTCGCTCACTCATTCTCTCTCATCCTTCTCATCTTTCGTCATCATCCCTTCTCACTTCATGATCTCACACAGAGAAAGAGGATTATCATGATGAGAAGGCTCAAAATAATAGTATAAGCAGATAGAGTTGATTGCATGAGAAAAAGTTTCTTAATTGTTGGAACGACAATTCGGCTACTCAATTGGTTGTCATCAAATCAAGTCATCATTAAATCCGGTTCTTAATCATCTTCTGGAACCAGATGAACATTTTCATGACCTCTGTTATAGAGATAATTTCTCAAAGTAAATTGTTGACAATTTAAATTTTGAAATAATTTCACTTTAATATTATTATGGCAACTTTGGATTCAGATTTATCTGTAAGCGTTTTTTATAATATTGCATCAATTTGATAAATTTAAATGAATCTTTTGTTTCAGTTTCTGATTGTTACAAAGTAAAATATAACAAACTTAAATCAGTTAACAATTTAAAACGGAAAATTTGACACTTGGTTAAATTTCATATAATTTGTTGTTGTTGTTGTTTTTTTTTGATGATGATCAGTTGGTCAGAATTAAAAATAAGTAGAAGATGAATAAAGAGATTGATGATGATGGTTGATTTAAGAAAATAATTGCAATTAATCTCAGTGATTGTAAAATTATTCGATTATTATATTAATAAGAAAATGCTTGATAAGGAATGAATTGATTGCACTTGGTTGTTCATTCAACGGTAACTGATTTCGCGAGATTCCTTGGACAATCAACGTTACAACCTCGAAGAACAGCAATATGATAAGCGAGAAGTTGCAAAGGTACAACAGTTAAAACTCCTTGTAAACAATCAACCGAATGAGGAATTCCCAGATTCTTGTATGACATTCCCTGAGTTTCGATATCATCTTGTTCGCAAATGATTATTGGTCGTCCACCACGAGCCAGAACTTGTTGAACGGCATTAATACACTTTGTGTAAACTTTATCTCGAGTAACAATCATTACCACGGGCATTCCCTCGTCAACCAAAGCGAGTGGTCCATGTTTCAATTCCCCGGCAAGAACACCTTCAGATGGAATGTAAGTTAATTCTTTAATTTTAAGAGCACCTTCGAGACAAGTTGCATGATTATAACCTCGACCCATGATCATGATCGACTCTCGAGTGTACAGCTCTTCAGCGATCGCTTTAACTTGATCATCAACTTTCAATACTGATTTAATTTGATCGGGTAATAATTTGAGCCCGTTAATTATTTCACTTCGACGGGGTCTCATTGAGATTCTATCCTCACTAAGAACCAAACCAAACATGACCAATGAAATAAATTGCGAGGTATAAGCTTTAGTTGAGGCAACACCGATTTCGGGTCCAGCATTTATATGGATACCACAGTGACTCTCTCGACAGATACTACTACCAACTGTGTTAGTTACACCAACAATTAACGCTCCTCTTTGCTTACAATATCTTAAAGCCATTAGGGTGTCGGCAGTTTCACCTGATTGAGAGATGAAGAAACAAACATCATCACGATAAACTGGTCCTTCGCTATCGAGAAAATCACTGGCAAGCTCAACCATTACAGGTAATTCAGTTAATTGTTGAACAATTATACGAGTTGCAACGGCACTATAATAGCTTGTACCACACCCAATCATGATTAACCGTCGGCAACGTTTTATTTCAGGGATGTAATCTTTGATTCCTCCCAAGATAACTGTCTCCGTATCAAAGTTAACTCTTCCTCTCATGGTGTTTACAACAGATTCTGGTTGTTCAAAGATTTCTTTCTGCATAAAAGAACTGAAATTTCCTTTCATTATTTCCTGAATCTCCAATTTAAGAGTAATTATCTCTCTAGTTAAGGGAGATTTATCAGAAAGATCTTTACGAATACGATGGATGGAAAGTCGACCATTCTCAATAACAGCAACGTCATCATCTTCAAGAAAGATAACTCGATTTGTATGCTCAATAAAGGCACTCGCATCGGAAGCGTAAAAATATTCAACCTCAGCGTGATCAGTGATTGGCGTGAATTCAGTTGTTGAATTGGACCGTTGTAGTTTGGCTCGAGCCAAAGCAGAATGAGCGATATCTTTCTGTTGAACTAAATCTTTATGACTGAATAAAACTGGAATATGATTTGAAAATAAAGGTGATTTTGGTTTGATTCCAATTAGCAGTGGACTTCCACGTCGAGTGGCCACACACTGTCCAGGATAAAGATAGCTTTTGAAAACTAGGGCAAACGCACCTTCCAATTGTAGAGTGACTTGTTCAACTAATTCTCGGAATGTAAAATCAGGATGTTTATCATGAATATGTTTAATTAGTTTAGCGATAGCCTCTGTATCTGTTTCCGATTCAAAGGTGAATCCTTTATTCATCTAGAATTAGGAACCAGGAAGAAAAAAAAAGTATATATATAAGTCAAAGTTAATGGATAAGAAAAGTTTCTCAAAAATCGAACACCAAATAAGATAAATTAGCTCAATGCTCATCAATCAAAAAGAACAAAACGAATCAGGTCATAAAAAAAGTGACCATCCCATTGAATGGCCTCTTTTTAAATGATTTTCACTTGCAACGATTATAAGTAGAGAGTCTAGACTCACCAGGAACTGTTTAATTTCTTTGAAATTGGTGATAATTCCATTGTGAACAACAACGAATTCTTGTTTATCATCATCAGATCTCTGTGGATGACTATTAATCGCACTTGGAGCACCATGAGTAGCCCATCGGGTATGAGCAATACCAACATGGGCATTACAAGTTTCCTCGAAATTTAAATTTTCTCGAGACCAAATTTCTTGCGATAAAACAGCAACCTTTCCTTTCTGTTTAATAATCTCAGTTTCTCCCAAAGGACCATCGAAAGCAAGGCCTAAGGTAAAAGAAAAAGAAAAAGAAAAAGGTTAAATATGTAAACCGATTTAAAGAGAAAATGATCACCATCTTGAAAGAGAAAAAAAGGTTTACTTTTTCTAGAGAAAAACATGGAGAATAGAAAAGACAAAATGTTCCATCTTACCTGCAGAATCATATCCTCGGTATTCTAACCTTTGTAAACCAGTAATTAGAAAATCTAATATTTCTTTACGAGTTTTAGGTTCGAGATAATTAATATAAGCAAAGATACCACACATTTTGACAGATATAAAACAATTAAATCAAATTAAAACCGAAAATTGAAAGTAAACAATATGCGAAAAAAAAGAAACACCAGTTAGAGATTTATTCTTAAATAGAATCCAAGACAGTTTAACTTTTTGAAGAATTAAAAGTTTGTAGAAAATTTGATGACAATAGTTTAGTAATTAAATCAAGTTGATCAAAGAAAAGTTTAACAATTAACTAATTCACTGATGAAATTAACAGAACTGAAAGAAAATCAAATCTTCATTGAAAAAAAAGAAAAAAATTGAAAACGAAAATCGAAAAGCGCCATCTAGAGGTCAACCGATTAACTAAATTCTTCATTTCTTTTTCTAGATAAAATCTTTCAATTAGATTGTTGGTAATTAAATAACCTTTTCCAGAAGAAATTGTTAAGATTAATGGAGAGAATGAAAATTTTTCACCAATTCCAAGCAATAGATAATTTTGCTGATCGTCATCAGAACGTAATCATCGTTATTAATTAGAGTTGATTCTTATGATCATTAAGAAATCACGAAAAAAAAACTAATTACTCGGCAATTTAGTAGACCAATTAATTAGTAAATTGAACATTAATCTCTTCAATATGATGAAGACAAAATTTTAGATTCAATTGATACACGAAAAAAAATACGAACCAATTAAGCGACAATTAAATAAGATCGAGATATGAACAATTATCATTGTCGAATCAAATTGGTTATATAAAATTTTAATCTTAGTAGAAAATATCAATGGAATTATAGTTAATTAGTTGATTGGAATGTTGATTGTTAAGACAGTAAATGTTGATTAGAAAAAAATTAAAGATAATTAATCAACAATTAATTTCTAATTCGATAGAAAGATAAGAAACTCCATCTATCGGATTCTTTTTGAATCTGAAGATCAGAAAATCAACCAAACCGAAGATTGAAAATGTTAAAAGTTTCGCAAAGAAAGTTTAATATTTTTGTTCATCAATTTTTGATTCTTTTCTATTGTTTGTTTTAATTAGAAAACTTTTCAACTAATCATTTATCTTTACATTGTATTTGCTTGTTGCTCTTGTATTTACTTCCTCTCATCATTTTTCTCATCTCTTTCCTCTATTTGTTCCTTAAGAGTTTATAAGTTTATCGTATCTCTTTCTCTCTCTCTCTCTCATCTTTTTTTCATCCTCATCATCAAATCATAACAATTGGCTCATTGGTACATCATTTTCACTTTTAAGATAATCTCCATCATCAACTTGATCATCTTTTTCTTTGCTACTATTATTATTGTTGTCAATTGTTTAATTGTCATAAAAATATATTTTCTAAATTCAATTGGTTTCCCTTTCGCCGAGTTCTCATTAGTTCTCGTCAATCCGATAGAGTAGAGGGCAGAGATTTTTATTTATCCTTTTCCACTCTGAATGTTAGTTAGATAATCGATGGAAACTCAACAATAATTACCTAACAACTTGACTAATTATTCAATTGAACAACAACCATGGACTCTGAAGAAGATGGTCAAGAAGGTGATCCTCAGTAATCTGACCTTTGAGCTTCAGTGAATCGTAATTCGTATGTTTCCTGGTACTTAACATATTTCGGTTGACATTTAATTGGCTGAATAAACTCAATATGATTGCGTATGAATCATGTGTTTGTGTTTCTTTTAGAGAACAAGTTCTGCTTATCACGTGACATTTACTCGAAATTCTATTGGCTGTTGCTCGAGGAAGAAGAGGAAGGTGAGTGAGATCATTTTCTCCTTCACTCTCAATATAATCGCCATTTTGTCTGCCATTTAATTCATTGAGTTCTTGGGTAAGGTAGCCAATGTTGTATTGGTTAACCTCAATTTGTGTCTTTTCATTGTTCTAAACTCGTTAAATTAGTGGTAATTTTGTCTAAGTGCTTTGTAATAGTTTAGGTTTACAAGTGAATTAAAATTAATACAATGATTAAGGTAAGTTATTTGATTTGATTATCTTTTTCCCTTTGGTTTATGTGATGTTCCAATTATTTTATTCTCCATTTAATCTTGGATTTTTTTTCTATTCTTTGGTGTTTTGCTGTTTTTCTTGACCCTTTTGTTTCATGGATTTGGTTGTATATTGATACTCTGATGGTTTTGTCTTCGTGGCCGTTTTTCTGCTGGTGATATTGGGCTTTTTTTTTTCTTCTCTTTTGTTTGATGGAAAATATTTCTTCTACGCAGTGAAAGAAACAGTTTCTGTAAATTTTTGTCTCTTTTTAGGTTTTTCTCTTTCTCTTTCTCTTTTTCTTTTAATATTTATAGGTTTACGGTTCGATTCCATCAGTATTTTAACGTTAATCTAAGTTATGTTGGTGTACCACATTCGTTTGTGTAGAGTTTCGTGTATCCCAAGGATAAATCTGGTTTTTTCTTTTTTCTCTTTTGATTGAAGTTTAACCTTGTTCAACTTACTCTCTTTCTCTCTCTCTCTCTCTCTCACTTTTTTGCGTTTGATCAAATGTCCCTTTGTTCGCTTTCTTTCTCTTTCTCTCTTTCTCTTTTTTATCTACCTCTTTATTCCAGATAATGTTTGTGTTGGCTTTAAGATTTTTGCTACGTCATCAATTTTCAAGCTATTCTAAGGTGACTCACAATACTTCTGATTGGCTTTGGTTTTTCTTTGCAAATTATCAAATATCGATTCAGAAGTGTTCAATGATCATCCCTAGTGATAAAGATGGGTAAGGTTAAATATCGAAACTTAAATTTTTCGTTAAATTTGGGCCATTAACCAGGCAAGTGTCTGTGTTTTGGTTCTTGTGTGTATTACATAAATCTCTTGTTTTCTAGTGTAAAGTGTTGTTACCAAGTTCCAAAATGGAGGACGGGTTTTTTTTTTCTTTTCTCTCTTTTCGCCATGTTCTTTTTTTATTCAAGAAACACAGATGAGAGTTATGGTCAGAGTAATTAGTCAATCATTGATGGTAGTGAATCTATTTCAATCGTAAGCAGTCAATCGTTAATGGTTATCAATGGTCTGATAGAGTAAATGGCTTCTAAGGAGATGGTTCAAAGTGTTGGTTGATTAAAGTTATGTATTAGGAGTCGCGAAGAAACAAGGTCGAGTCAATAAGGTCGAATAGAAAATCCATCGAGAGAGTCCTCCTGAAGTGCTGTTTGAGTAATAGAGCCCATGCCTATCAGATTTTATCTCATTTCTCAAGGTCATCCCTGTGACATCTAGTCAAATCAATTTGTAGCTTGTGACGCATTCATCATAATTCTGGTTTCCCTTAATGGTTTTGATCTCATTTATCTAATTACCAAAGAGTCGAGTTGATTATCAAGCAAGATAATTTTAATCCAAGTCAAAAAAACGGCAAAATCCATATTCAATTATTCAGTTACGATTGAGCCAATTACATCACTTTCCAATGCCGTTCAATTCGTCAGATAGTTTTACATCCATAAAAGTTATTAATCCCCTTGCGTCAATATATCGTTGGAAGCTAAAATCGTGTTTTGTCATGAAAATTCATTTCATTCATTAATTTTCCATCCACTGCTCAAATGCAAGTAAAAAGTCAAAATTGGTTAAAATTCAATTTCTTCTCCTAGTAACATCCATTGATTTTGTTTTTAACACTTAATCTAAAGCTGTTTGGTTTCAATCTATGTTTGGAAAATGTATCATGTTTATCAAGAATCAAGTGGAAGCGATAAGTCAAATTAATTATCCGATGAAGTTTTGTCAATTGTTTTTAATACTCAATCAGATGCTGTTTGGTTTCAATCTATGTTTGGAAAGTGTATCATGTTTATCAAATGTCAAATGGAAACGATAAGTCAAACTAATTATCATTGATAATTGTATACTAACCCCATAATTGTCCTGTGAATTATCTGGTTTTAATCTTTGCATGTAAAGAGTTTCCTGTCTAATAAGCCAAGCTCATTAAGTTACTTATCATTGATTTACTCATTCCATGAAGCCCCTTTAATTGAATCAACAACATTACAGCTGTTGAATAATACCAATCATTGGTTTAAGTTTTGAGTATCAAGATCTGCAACGTGTAATCAGGTGTTTGAGGTAATCAATAGGAATCGTCGAGATGGTTAGAAGTAAAGTCTGGCAGATCTTGTCTCATTTCTCCAAGTCCGTACCTGTGATATTCTAGTCCAATCAATTTTTAGCTTGTGACACATTCATCATAATTTTGGCTCCCTTGAATGGTTTTGATCTCATTTATCTAATTACCAAAGAGTCGAGTTGATTATCAAGCAAGATAATTTTAATCTGTATCAAAAGTCATACTTAATCAATTGCAATTACATCAATTTCCAATGCCGTTCAATTCAACAATTATATTTACATCCCTTTAAAAGTTATCAAAGTCTTCGAAGTTATATGATCCCATTGCGTTGTGTTTATATCACAAAGAGTTAAGGAGTATTGTCACTATTTGGTTTTTATCGTTTGGGAGCGACTATCGTGTTGTTTTGTCATTTAAAAAGTAATTTCTCATCCACTGTCAAAATTGGTTACGATTCAATTCCCTTCGCCTAGTGTAACATTCAATGAAGTTTGTCCAAACTGCTTTAAATGCTCAATCAGATGCTGTATTATCCCAGTAAGATAGTTTTTCATCCTGCAAAGTTGTTAATCTCCTTGTTTTGCTATTTCATTGGAAGCTAAAATCGTGTTGTTTTGTCATGAAAATTCATTTCATTCATTAATTTCCATCCGCTGCTCACATGAAAGTAAAAGTCAAAATTGGTTAAAATTCAATTCCTGCTCCTAGTAACATCCAATGAAGTTATGTTGAAATTGTTTTTAATACTCAATCAGATGCTGTTTGGTTTCAATCTATGTTTGGAAAATGTATCATGTTTATCAAGAATCAAGTGTATCATGTTTATCAAGAATCAAGTGGAAGCGATGAGTCAAATTAATTATCCAACGAAGTTTTGTCAATTGTTTTAAAGCTCAATCTATGTTTGGAAAGTGTATCATGTTTATCAAGAATCAAGCGGAAGCGATAAGTCAAATTATCATCCAATGAAGTTTTGTCCAAATTGTTTATAATATTTTATAACAAGTTTTTTAAAAAGTTGCCAATTGTCAATCCAATGTGGTCCTATGAATCAATTTCATGAAGCTCCATCTCCATGAAGTCCTGTGAATTAATTGATTGTCCAAATC